CCTCTTGCTCCCTGAACATGAAAAGAACAAAAAATGTTATGGTATAACCATGGATTGTAAAATAAATGGATTGGAAACTTCTGACGTCATTGACTGCATCCTTGTTGAAAAACGTGACGTCACGCGTATTGCGAATGTTACCAAAGTTCTCGGCATATTTGTTGTTTTGCTATATTTTCCACTTTAAAAGGGTGATCTTGAAGCGTAAACTGGTCTAATTGTTTTAAAAACATGCCTAAGCCACGACAAAGTATTCAAGGTAAATGTTTTTCGTCTTGGTTTTGTATTTTTTTACATTTGTAGCTACGAAATTGGCGTCACAAATTTTAACGAAATTTGCGATGTATTTTTCACTGTTTAGTGCTTGAAATATTTGCTAAAATTGACTGGGAATACTTAGAGTTTTCATCGTAGAATGGCGTGGTTATATTTATTTGCTCTTTGACTAAAATGTTTAGCTGTATTATTGCTAAACATGCCGTTTTTGAGAATTTGATTTTCAACTAGGTTGAGGCATCCAACCACGCCATCAATCCCAGTAAAAACATTAGGTCACGTCAGCTAGTTTCCTATCCATTTATTTTATTATCCATGGTATAACAATAGTGGGGAATTCTAAACAGGCCTCGAATTTCCCTGAAATCAATCGACGGCAATGGCGTTAAAAATTGCCATAGAACGTAACAGCTGTCTACGGCAATTTTGGTATAGTTTCCATGGCATTTTTCAAATTACTGTTATTACTGTTATTGGCTTGTTTTTGTTAAGGGACCAATCAGAGGCTTTGTTTACAAACCGGCTTGTGAATTTCAGTATGAACTTTTGAACTTCAAAACGAAGTTCGTGAAATTCAGGGAAAAGTTATGTGAAATCAACTGTAAACAATTATTAAACTTGTGCTCTTTAGCAATGATTTAAGAAAGCAAATTAACCAAAAACTGGTGTAAAAGCGGTGGTAATAGAGTTGTAAAATCAAAAACTTCGTTAGTGGTTTGACGTTAGAGACCTTAAGATTGACGTTTACGGCAAACGTCAAACCGTTGATTTTACAACTCTATTATAGCTTTTACATCAGTTTTGAAATATGTTAAACTTATTAAACTTGTGCTCTTTATCAATGATTTAAGAAAGCAAATTAACCACTAGTCATGCCATTCACCAAAGCAGTAAATTAAGATTTGGCGTTTGAAGTTGACGTTTGACGTATAAATTTCATGCTTTAACGACTACAAGCCCTCGTAGCAGTTCAAGCATGAAATTTATACGCCAAACGTCAACTTCAAACGCCAAATCTTAATCTACTGCTTTGGTGAATGGCATGACTAGTGGTTAACTTGCTTTCTTAAATCATTGCTAAAGAACACAAGTTTAATAAGTTTAACATATTTCAAAACTGGTGTAAAAGCTATAATAATAGAGTTGTAAAATCAAAAACTTCGCTAGCGGTTTGACGTTTGCCGTAAACGTCAATAGAGAGTTTTAGATTGACGTTTACGGCAAACGTCAAACCGCTACGTAAGTTTTTGATTTTACAAGTCTATTATAACAGCTTTTACACCAGTTTTGAAATATAAACAATTATTAAACTTGTGCTCTGTAGCAATGATTTAAAAGAAAGCAAATTAACCACTAGTCACGTATTCGCGAAAGCAGTAAATTATGATTTGGCGTTTGAAGTTTACGTTTGGCGTATAAATTTCATGCTTGAACTGCTATGAGGGCTTGTATAGTCGTTAAAGCATGAAATTTATACGCCAAACGTAAACTTCAAACGCCAAATCATAATTTACTGCTTTCGCGAATACGTGACTAGTGGTTAATTTGCTTTCTTTTAAATCATTGCTACAGAGCACAAGTTTAATAATTGTTTATATTTCAAAACTGGTGTAAAAGCTGTTATAATAGACTTGTAAAATCAAAAACTTCGTTAGCGGTTTGACGTTTGCCGTAAACGTCAAGCTAAAACTTTCTGATGAATCATGGCGTGGCAGCGATTACTCGAGTCGACCTTCTGTGTGCCTTATTCTGTGTCCTTGCCAACCTTAGGTATACTTTATATTATACGTCAGTTCGCCGATAGTGCAATCGAGTAGCGATTTAATATAAGCTATATTTCGCAATATATTTCGCTAATTTGTGATTATTTTCGTTAAATTTTATAATTTCAATGCAGTTTTAATTTAAATTCAGTCGTTTAGTGGGCTGCCTATGAATAAATGTACAAACTTCACACTCGAAATTCCCATCTACGAAATCCTTATTCTAGGAAACCCTCTGTAGCAGGGCGCTTGTAATAAGCGCCCTGCTCTGTAGATACAACGTTTACGCCTCTGAGCCAACCCATTTATTTAGGGTACTGTGGATTCTATTGCTATGAAAAGCCCCAAAGAACGAACTCAGATGTTTGAAAAGATAAGCAGGTACGTACTGTATACACTCATCACCCGAACCAATCGGGGCGTAAGCCTGGGGCGGGCTAATTGCCTGGAGTGGACTCACTGGACTGGGACTAATATCAGTAATAACAGTGTTATTACTATTATTTAATACTGTTATTACTAGTATTATTACTAGTATTATTACTAGGACACTAATATGGTTCTCATTACCTATATCTAAACCTAAAACTCTAAGAAAATTATGGTTACAAAAGAATACATTCATGGATTAATGCAAAGAGAAAGAGACAAAATTTTTATCACTGGTCTGGATTTTGTCCCAGAGCTACAACAGCGCCAGCACACTAAATTATCCTAATACATATACATGCATAACTCACCACAACGACTGGTCATTTATTTTTTTAAAAAGCTATATTCAAAACAATAAAAAATATTCAAAACTTACTTTCCTTGAAATACTATCAATCATGCAGGCTTCAACGAAGTTACTACAGCTTTAATGTTAGTAAGCTTGAGAATTTACTGTAATTTGCTTTGGATTTTACGTTAATTAACCCAGGAATAAAATAAAATCTGCTCCCAGATACGTGCTTTATCCCAACCCTGTACAGACTATAATTTTGTATTAAGTTTGTATTTACATTCATCGCGCACGCGTGAAATTCGCCCGGCCTTGAGATAGCCAATTCAGTCTAGTTAGTGGGATGAGTCCTCAATGAGCGTGCAGATATACAATATCTGTGACCGAAACGAAATCCCTGTTTCATTTGAAGGGAGCTTGGCTAGAGAGTGCTGATCATTTTTCAAATTTAGAATTTCTGTCTGCGCATGCGCAAACACGTGCAAATTGTTGACGCACCACATGCTAATGAGGAATATTGTAAAACATAGATAAATACGAAGCAAGTTATTTGTATGGTGTGCGTGTGGTCCGAAGGGAGAGGGTTCTCACTTAGATTTAGTAGCCACATCGCCCCCAGGCACATTCTAATGTAGAAGAACAATACAACTTCTCTGACCCTTGACCACGCGCTTTTTTATGCCCGTGATACAACCGAGTATTCTTGACGTTCTAGAGTTTCTCCATGAGTCAGTGTCAGTCCTGCCAGTCAGGCAGCGGTACAAAAGTTGTGTCTACTCAAGATTTTACGAGCTTTTCAATACGTACATTAATAGTACATGTATCGGCGCCAAGATAACGATGATCTTTCTTGCACGGGCTCGTTTTGGCAGCAGTAGACTTAAACGGTAAAATAAAAAATCGTTGCATGTATGAAATATTAGCGCGTTTGTGTGTTAGACTGTGTGCAACATTTTCTCATAATCTCATACTGTATTTTTAAACACGCGTTTATTCGCGCGGCAATCATTGCAGTGACATTTAAATTCCGTGTCATATGACATGTATAATCACGTCTGAATAAACGCAAATAGCTCGTTTGTTTTGTCGAAAATAGTTACATGTGTGTAAAACCCTACATAAACTTTAGATAGTATATATTACTTACGCGAGGATAATAGACAATTCCCATTACAGACTAATTTTAAAACTAGGCAAGGAGATGTAAATAAATCACTACAGCTAGAAAGAGCATACTAAAATGAGTAAAATTGCAAAGTTTGGTGGCGAAATGTTGTAAAATGCGGAAAATATAGCCTTGCAAATTTTGTATACTTTTAGCATGCGTGCGGAAATTGCTACCATTTTCGGCCCAAATGTGGTAGCAATTTCCGCGCGCAACACAAAAGTATACAAAATTTGCGAACTTTGCGAGTCTCTATTTTCCACATTTTACAACATTTCGCAACCAAACTTTGCAATTTTACTCATTTTAGTATGCTCTTTGCGGGAATATACTTATTTTCCAAGATAAAAATTAGTCCATAATGGGAATTGTCTATTGCAGTGCCATGCAGTGGCATTAACAGGTCTCAATTGCAAAATAATTTCAAAACTGCGCGTTATCTGACAGTGCATCTTAAATCAAACGCGAATCACACGTTTGGTTTGTTAAACATATTAATTTCTCAAGATTATCGTTTGCGGTGATAGTGAAGTAAATTACCCCAACATAGTCATAGACTTTACAGATTATATACTCTTGTTAATATGACAAATCAATAATCTCCAAGACGCATTTGCTATTCAAGTGACACTATCTCTGTGTAATAAGTACTGCAGTACAACTTTATCGTCGAAAATTCAAAATCCCTATCTTAGCCAAATTGTACAACTTCATTGCCGAAAGCTGAGTCACTCGGGTGCCTCGATTTTTTCAAAGATCATGAAAAACAAAGTGACTGAGGTGGAATCGCGATATCTCAGCAACCTCGTACCCAGGGCCTCCAGCGGTAGAAGGTGCTGGGCGAGGTTGATATCTCAACAGTATAAATTTAGTTATAGTTTTGTATTGTACTGCCATCACTCGTCAACGCCATGCATTCTTTTAACATTTATATATTTTTTGTGTTTTCAACCAAATTATGCAGGTCGGGAGAACTAGCTTCTGACTATGAGAAGAGGAAAGTTGAGATGCAGCAAGCAGAGGAAGATACGACATTCAATTATCAGAAAAAGAAGGTAAGCTCATGTTTTAGAGACTTACAGCTACAACCTGCATGACCAACATCAGTTTACGATCTACGACGCGGCAAACCCGACGACGCGTCGCAATTTCAGCTCAAGAATGAGCGCTAAGTACTTTGATGACTGTAATAAATGCTTGAAGCTTTTTAGAATAAAGTTACAAACAGCTAAGTTCAGGTGAAATAATGTAAGGCTGACTTTATGTAACACATCTAACCATAGTTCAGTATATATTAACTATGATCGAACGTCGCAATAAGCTTTCAGCTGCAAAGACGTGATAATGCTTAGTTTCACGTTGTATTCAGAATAACAACGCTGTTGAGGATACCCCTGGGACCACAAATTATTCAAACTTTTTGTCTTGCATGAAGAATTCCTTTGTTTTGAAGAGTTGACTTGCCGCGTCGTCCCTTGCAACGTCCATTATCCTTCTGGTCCGAGAAACGCACCATTATTTTTGTTTTAAACTAGGTAAAATTCATTAACTTTAATAGTGCAAGGAAATTTTGTCAAAAATAAGGAAATTTTGAGCCGTTGGGAAGGAAATTATTTTTTTTGGGAGTGGAAGCACTGGATTTTCAATAGACCTGGGGCCAGTTGTACGAAAGCCGGATAGTGATATTTTTAACGGATGTAAAAGAGCTTGAAAAGAAACTTTAATTTATAAACACAAAATCAACGGACAATTTTAAGGAGCTTGAAAAATCACTATCCGGTAGAAAGCGCTATCCGGCCTTCGCACAATCAACCCAGAGCAACACGTACTTCAATACACCTGACCAACACTCACCATATTTCAACAGACGTGACCCACACTGACCATCTAGACCAGGCCAATATTGACCCTATTTCATTATGGTCAATGTTGGTCAGACTTGGACTCGAGACTTAGACTTTCCCCAAATCCACGCCTATCAAATGTTTTTGATGGATTAAGTTCTTTAAGTTTTCCGACAATATTGTTTGGAAACTAGCGCTTTTATGTTGTTAAGGATGCCGCCTTAACGCTCCGCCTCTTCTGAGCAATGCAATTTTCGTTCATTGTCGATTTCCCATTTTACATATTTGTGACTTGTGACATCATTAACTTGACTTGACTTGGACTGGAACAAAATGGTTTCTGACTTGACTTGCACTTGCAAGAAATGGAAAAAAAAATGTTTTACCACTGGCACTAAAAATTCGTCGATACATATTGAACAGTACAGCCGATTTAAAACATTAGAAAACCTCATTTCTTTTTTTGACTGTAAGTATGTAATATTTACTGTAGTATATTTAACAATTCGCCGAAGGCGAGGTGATTATCGGGGAATATTCACCGAGACGAAGTCGATGTGAGAATTCCCCGATAATCACCGAGCCCTGAGGCGAATAATTGTTTTAGTATTTTTGCACAAGTCTTTTGTGTTTTTGGGACTGAATTTATTTTAATTTCGCTTATTTCCTTTTCAGTAACTTTCACAAAACGGCTAGCCGCCATTTTGCAAATTTCGGTTTTGTTATATTCACCTGTAGATGAATATAACAGCTTAATACGTTGACTAATCAACTTGTAGGATTTGTTATATTCACTTGTGCAAAAATACAAATAAGATATAATTGTCACGGTATGATTCCCTCAGTAAAAGAATTGTACAGAATGATTTGTGACATGGTCACAGACAAAATTACTTGACTCGGACTAAATGACTTGTGACTAAAATGGGACTTGTTAACAACTCTGCCTCGATTTTTTTTCTGTGCTGGTGTTGTTAACTCAGGTGAATATAATGTTTGTGATGTTACTCTGAGTGTATATCCACACCGGGCGAGCTTGAAAAATATGCCCGGCCACGGTGGGAATCCAAAGGTCGTAGGTTCGATTCCCACCGTGGCCGGGCATATTTTTCAAGCTCGCCCGGTGTGGATATACACTCAGAGTAACATCACAAACTCTGCCTTTCCAGCAATCTGATTGGTCGAAATTGTGCGACCAAAAACCGATACACCTAGCTGGAAGTGGGGGGCTACCACCTTTTCAAAATGGCTTGCCTGAGCCGAGGCGACGTAATGACTGTATTTAAACAGACATTTTATACCAACAAATTTAGACCTGACCAACGTACACCTGATCGACATTGACCGTATTTCAACAGACACTACCAACAAGTTTACAGATGAAGTTGAACGTTGAAACACATAGTATGTTATAGGGAATCGTGGCTGAAAGAAAGGAAGCCAAAGTGGAGAAAGATGAAGCTGAAAAATATCAGAAATTGGTCAAAGAATATGTGAGTGTTTTGTGAGTTTACGTGAGTTCCGGAATGCAATGCGTGGCAAGGAGCCAAGGACAGCTTTTTTGACAAGGGGACATCACACGAACTTTCATGAAGTGAATTTTCGGTCAAGACTTGTGGATAGAGTCATGTAGAATTGCATTTCTTGGTATTTCTTGTTTATCGCTTTAAATAAACAATGCAAGAGCCTTACCCAGAGTAACGGAAGCGTGGATAATTGCTCCCTTGTTCTTCCATTTTCCCCATGGTTCTGACATAGTTCTTGCTTTCTTTTTCAGAGTTATACTCCTTACTAAACATATTTCTTTCCTAACTTATAGAATGACAGTAAATTAGAGGCCCACCTGTTCAAACTGTATCACAATAAGAAGGATATTAAAGATCTGAATGAAAGTCTAGATGATAAAAATAACATCTTGAGAACCTTGGTAAGTCGAATAAACTAAAGTGACTAAAGCTGCGTTGAAACGGGACCGGACGGAACCATACTCAAATTTGCACGATTTTGCATTTCATGTTCACATGCCAGTGTGAGACCCATCAAACCAGACGAATTTGGATCAGTTAACCGTATATACTCTACGAAATCTCGTGTGAACATGGCTTTAACAAACTTGACTAAACTTGAAATACTGTACAACGCATGCAAAAAAAAAACACCACCGTTAAGTGGTTTTAATTAGCAAGCATTGTACAGTATCCCTATCATGTAGTGGTAGCCGTGGTAATGATAATAATAATAATGACATTGTCATATAAATGATTAATACTTTTAACTATAGAATTGTCAATGGGAAAAACTATTCTGTACTAAGTTGATGTAGTGACGTCACACCGAAGAGATCGTCGGTCGGCCTCAGAAGTACTGGGTGACGTCACTACATCAACTGAGTGCAGAACAAGTTCTCCACATTATCAATTAGCCTTTTCCCAAAAGAGATCACAGTGCATTCTGGGATCGTTTGGAGGGACAAAATATATGGTGACAGGCGTCAAATATGTGAAAGAGAAGAAGTATCTACTATCAAATTATATCAACATTTTAGACGACCAAAACTGAAATTTCTCCTTTTTACATTAAACTTTTAATTTAAATGTGTGCTGCCATATTTCTTGTCCCTCCAACATGGGATTTGCGCGACTAGGCCCAGGACTTTGGGAAATGACTAATTGCCGAAATATAGAGTGCAGATACAGGTGGTATTAGCCATTGTATAAGCTTCAAATTAATGTAAAGCGGGATCAGTACGTGGGAGGAAACCTGCACTGTTTGGTAGAGTCAAACTACATCCAACACTCTTCATACAAGTGACTTAAAATTATAATCAGCGAACTATATATTGCTGGAATTGCAATATTTTGAGAATACCATGCTAAGATGTTTGTGTATATTGTAGTTGGAGAAGCGTGCTCGTGTCGACAATGAACTGAAAAACAAGAAGAAAGAACAAGGTGAAACATCAAGACAACATGCTCTGTTGGAGAGAAAGATTAAAGACAAGGTACCACTCAGTTATAGTTTTAGTTTGCGAAATCTATAACCTTCCAGATAAGCCGGAGTTTGCACTTAAGGTGCTTTTATTATTCGCCCGAAATTTTGATCACAAAACAATTACATGTCTGTATTTTCACGTTTATTAGGAATCCATTGCATTTCAGCTCACAGCGAACTCGTGCATGACATAATCAACTCCCAACTTTTGCTTCTTTTTTTTTTCCAGGAAAATGAACTTGGAGAAATGAGACCGAAGTATATCAAGGCAAAAGAAAACACAGCACATGTAACTAAGAGACTTGAAACTAAAAAGTAAGAAAGCCATTAATTATTGTTGTACTGTTATCACCATCTTGTGATGGCACAGAACGAAAGTTGTGGCTGACTCGTACCCAGTCCCTCAAATTACCTCCGTCCACTGATCTATATAAATCGTAATTGACGACTGGGTACGAGTCAGAAGTTGTGGTACTTTTGAAAAAAATTGTTGAATTATGTTTCTTTGTAATGTATGTGGGAATACACCGGAAATACTGAATAGGAATAAACAAAATCCTGACACTTACGTACGCTTACGTTCCTGGCTGTTTGTCACTTTGGAATTTAACCATAGAAATATTAGACCTAGAATGCGTGCTTGGTCACGTGACCGGTGTCCAAATTGAAAACAAAAATGCCCTTATAAATCCGCCATGTTGAATTTGAGTAGGAGTGCAAACTACAAAATATAAACAAAGCTAAAACTAAGTTTTCATCCTAAAAATGTTTTGTCTTGCTGTCTAATTTCTGGTTTGGGATAGATTTTGAAATATTAAGTTCTTTAAAGGCACAAAGCAAATGTGCAGTTACTGACAAAAACGGTGACAATCGTGCAGCCTTCAGCCTTGTAAAAACACAGTAGTTCGCGTAAATATAATTTACTCATAAAACATTTTTGCATGCTCTGAACGTAACTGTTTAGCTAGTATTTTATGAAATTACGAAATGATAGTTCATTCTTTGTCGAGTTTCGTTTTTCTTCAATCTAAACGAAGTGTTTTCATGTTTTTGAAACAAAAATATTTAGTTGTCGATATTACTGTAAATCGCCTAAATAATCGTCGAAAACTATGGTTTCATTATTTTCAAAAGCGTTGCCTCATGCTCAAGCAACGACGAAAAATATACAAAGTGGTTGTGTAAGTTTAAAAAGATTATTGAACTCCATTTACTGATTATAAAACTGTTGAAATATTTTTAGAACATACATAATATTGAGTTTGTCTTGATCTTTCGTGTTTTGTTTTGGCTTGCAGAACAACGTTGAAAATGTATTTGTAAACGACGATTTCTGTATATATTCTGTTCAGCAATATGGCTTTTCGTAAAAAAAACCCACTGGAATGGGATTTTCTCCTTTACAAAACTTTATTTCCACTTTAAGTCTCGATATAATTGTTTTTGCAAACTTTGTTTGAAAAAACCAATTCCCACCCCCTGCAACCGCGCGAAATTCCTTGCCGCAAGAGTCTGGGACTAGCAAAAATGCCCTTATAAATCCGCCATTTTGTGGAGACAAAGTTTTTACTGAGAAAAGATAGGAGTACGCATTCTATGTCTATTATTTCTATGCATTTAACCCATTAAGCGCCAGCGCTCTCCCCTTGGCGAGTAAAATCGTCTGACGTTATACAGAGTAAAATAATAAAGTAGGGCGCATCAGGGCGCAATGCGACTCAATGGGTTAATTAGACAAATGGGCAGATAGGCCTGGCGAGTAAAATTGTCTGGCGTTAGACAGAGTAAGATAATAAATTAGGGCGCATCAGGGCGCAATGCAACTCAATGGGTTAAAAATACAGGAAGTCTTAAGCCCATTTTCCACTAGGCAATTCGTTCGCGCGAATCGAAAAACAAATCTTGGCAATGTGATTGGTGAGAGAAAAAATTCGCCGCGATTAAGTTGGATCAGTTTCAAATTTTTTTTCTGTTCGCGCGAACAAATTCGCCTAGTGGAAAATGGGCTTTAGTGTTTACATGAGTTAACATTTGTTCTGATTTGTTTCTACAGGAAAAGTCTGACAAAGGCTCAGAACGTCCGTAAGAAACACAAAGAAGAGGTGCGATTTTATTTTAATTTGTAAATTTTAATTGCACTTCTGTCCAAGAGTTACCGATACCACGCCATCCCCATAGACACTATTTAAAAACTCTAATGAAATAAAATGGGATCCTTTCCAGGCCTTTCTATTTTTCTCACAACCGTCCGCATTCCATTCCATAAGCCAACATCACAGCTATAATCTGCCTTTTACATTCGCCAAGAATAATATTTGTTATCAACTACAGTATATATTTTCAACTGACATGCATATACATCATATTGAGAATCAACATTGGAAAAGCGGGAGATGTGTGACTAAGCAGGTTTTACCTACAGCATTTGTCAGCTTTATTGAAAAAATATTTATTATGCCCGAATGAATTTTGGACTTGATTGCAGTTTACATGGATAGTTGTTTTCTTGTTCAAAGTCGCTATCTCTGAAAAAATCTAAAGGATCGTGCCTCTCCCCCATTACCCGGTCTTGAAACCATGGAAACGATAGTCAATGTCATAATTAAATGTGTGGGGAAGAGAGGTGCTTGCATATTGTGTTTTCTGTCCTATCCTGATATCATTTTGTTTTATGGATTTGTATAGATCGAGCACTTGAAGGAGGAACTGACAGAAGTACGCAATCGTGCTCAGCAATATGAAGAAGAAATAGCTGAAGAAAGTCAGGGAGAAGATATGGAGCTAATGGCATCTCAAGTAAGTTACACTTGTATTGAACACCTTGGATAATAAATATATATACGACCCATTTCTGATGGTGGAAAGGTTAGTTTTAAAGACCATGTCAAGTCCGTTCTGCGCATCAGTTCTGCTCATAACAAAGGGGTATAAACATTGCCCAAATTCTGCATCTTTCGAACTTTTTTGAATTGAAACGAACTCTATAGTTTATATTAATTTATAATAGCGAACCAGAAAAGTGTTAGATATTCAGTTAGTATGTCTTATTTTACAAATATAGCAGTGTAAATCACAATGTCAAAATGTAAACAAAGGATTTGTTTACATTACGGACTTGACATGCATGGTCTTTAAGTAAATATCGAGATCTTTAGGCATTTCGCTCGATAGAACTAATATTTCGAGCGGAAGGTGGAAAACCGGAGGAGATCCCTCGAGACACTGAAGAGAGCCAACCGTAACTGTACTTACGTGAGATCAAGTCAGAGCAGGGTGCCCATCAAGTAATAATAACTACACGGCACACGTAATCTGGCAGTGCCATCTAAACAATCGTCAAGGTGTTCTAATTTTTTAAAAGAAGAACAAAAAGGGACGTTAAGCGTATACGCTTAGACTATAGGACTATAGTCCTTGTAATCGTTGGAACGTCCCGTTTCCAGGCGGGTAGACAGGCATTGCTGGGCGGGCAATACGACTTTGTGACTTTCATTATGTACTTACTGTACGTTAAGACAAAGGAAACCGTATGTTATTTTTAAATACGCTTTAAGTACATGCGAAGCTTCTCAATTTACCCGATTAAAAACTCTGCGTGTGAACTTCTTCCCTAGAGTAATATTTTCTTGGGAAATGGGAACCTTGTGTTATTGTGCAGAGAGAAAAATCATTAGAGTAGAAAATAATAGAAAATTCACCCAATTTTAGCTGGAAGAGTACAACAGTTTGCGTGAGAGAGTTGGAATACAAACATCACGTCTTCGTGAAGAACTGAATAAGGTAAGAGACTTACTGCGGAAAGGTATATACCTGTTTATAGTTGTTCAATTTGACACAAAAATCGTGATCAACACACGAAGGCGTTTTATATGAAACATTTGTTCTCATCATGAATATGCGGATTTGGTGTATGATATTGTCGTTAGAAACATCAGTGTTTGTAACGATTTACGAGAAATTTGAAAGTTACAATTAGCCTTTCTAACGTAATATGACCAGGCCTTCTACGGCACAGGAAACGTAGACGGTAACAAGTGAAGGAGTGATTTTGGTCAAGTAGAAACACAGTACTATTGTTTATCAGTATTATTTACTTTTAATCACTTGTTGTCATCCTCTGTTGCTGCACGGTTTGCCCTAACCGCCTTTCGACCACACCCCCTGTCGTCACTTCCCACCGGGGGTGTAAGGCAGTCTGCGAGCAGACTAGGTTTGCCCACAGCTCAATGGGTTTGCCACCCGAATGAAACGATGTGTAAAGTTTTAAGAATAGACCCATTGCACATGACGTCACAGCGCCGGTGACGATGTATCTGGAGGACACATTAGCAATCTATGCATAATATAACTTTTGTAAACAAAGCAAATTTTGTAAAAGTTTATAACAATTTTGTATTAAAATGGTTAACTTTTGCGCTGTATGTGGTTGTTGTACCCGAACAGATATTGTTAGGGAGCATCTGGAGGACACTCTAAGGATTTGTGACGTCAGTGCAATGGGTCTATAACACTGTATGTGGTTGTTGTACCCGAACAGATATTGTTAGGGAGCATCTGGAGGACACTCTAAGGATTTGTGACGTCAGTGCAATGGGTCTATAACACTTCATGTGTGGAAAAGAGTCAATTTTTAAAAACCTACAAAGTAGTAAAGTATACATGTTTTAGCAGTGCTGTCGAGTGTGTGTGTGTGTGTGTGGGGGTATTTGGTCCTCCAACTCCAAAGGGGCCCCCTACTCCAAAGGGGCCCCCAACTCAAAAGGGGCCCCCAACTCAAAAGGGCCCCCCCAACTCAAAAGGGGCCCCCCCAACTCAAAAGGGGCCCCCAACTCAAAAGAAGCCCCCAACTCAAAAGGGGGCTCCCAAAGCGACGAAATCCCTTAAATTTTCTTGATCCAAGACTGTTTAACCGAGAATACAATTCCTAGCTGCGTCAGGCCGGATAAAGTGCAATATATTATAAACACCGCTTCTCCTGTTTTACAATTATAACGTCATAGGAGACCCGGGCAGCGGTGTTTTAGCCGTGTATTACAAACAGCATAGATAGCTTTACATGTGCAACTTTATCCAATAATTATTTCCCTCTATTCAATGCCTGGAGTTGAAACTTTGATAGCGCTATCCGGCTTTCGTATAACCAGGAGCCGACCCCAGGGGCCAGGAGTTGTAAATGAGAAATGAGAAGCAAACCACAGTTTGTTCTACAACGAACTTACTATGACTTATTTCTGTATTTTGTAGATCAATCGTGATCAAAAATCAGAGGAGGAAGATCTTGAACAATCGCGACAGCAACAGACTGATTTAACTGCGGAAGAAAATAGACTGAATGATGAAATGTAAGCCATTGAGCAATTGTCTACATGATTAAATTTTAAATATTTGCATACAGCTATACTGTAGATAATAGGGTGGTTTTTACCAGATCATTGGGGTCCAGTGTACGGGACTCCAACAGTTTGACTTTTCGAGTTCTCGCTTTGCCGAACCAACTCGGCTAGCCGGGACAACTCGCTTCATGTGATCGGCCCCTAAGAGACTAACTAATTAAGATGCTCTATATGTCGAACTAACATAATATTCTGGGGGAGGTTGTATAAAACTCTTAATCACTTTTTTAATCACTATTTTGTAGTTAAATAGTGATTAACTCTCAAATAGGCGCTTCTTATTGGATGACGTTTCCACTAAAGGCCATGCTACACGGTGCAATTTTTCTTGCAACTTGCAATGCAATTCTACTCTTGAGAGATGTTAATCAGTGAAGTCGGTGACGAATTTTCGATATGTTGAGAAAACATCAGCGGAGTGTAATGAAGACTCGTATTTGGCAATTTTATATCTCTCAAGAGTAGAATTGCATTGCAAGTTGCAAGAAAAATTGCACCGTGTAACATGGCCTTAACTATAGTTAACTTTAATCATTTTTTTATACAACCGGCCCCTGGAATTTTTATAGTTTAATTTTTAAAAAGAAACAGAGACTAAAGTCCCTTATTAAAGGCAATATGGCAACTGGCTTCATATTCTACACCGGTGCACAATAAATTGGGCTATCCAGTACACTTATGAGATCAGTGAAGAGATGACTAGCATTAATATCGATGCATATTTAGTGCATACACTTAATAGTAATAAATTATGATTTTCAAATGTCCTCTTTAGACACCAACTGGCTGAAAGAAAACAAAAGCTTCTGGATTACATCAGGTTTGTACTGTATCCATTTGTCTGATCGATTCAGATCTACCTAAATGTTATTTAAACAAAACATGTTATCCAACGTCATTTGACGACACCATCAACAAACTAAACTGCTCATCAATATTGATGCGATGATGTGAAAACGCAACTTTAACCTTGATTCTATATTCGATTCTATCTAAAAAGGACTTCAGTGACAGTGGTTCCTTTTCTAAGAATAATATGGTAAAGGGCTGTTGATTGGGTTGCTGGTATGGGTTTTGTAAACGATTTAATAAATGCATTGTTTTTATTGAGTGATTTACCGTATTACTATCCCTAAATGACGTACTAGGATTAGGGATAGAATTTGAGTTGGGATTAGCGTTCGTTACACAGAGAAAAAACGCCCAGCTTGTTACAATATTTTGCTGCCCATATTGTTCCTGGTTGTTAACAATATTGTTCAGCCTGAACAATGCTGAAACCTGATAAAACCACTTCTACGGACATAACATCACTTTGACATGCAATGCATGGGGTAAGATTGGTCGAGATAATAACGTTTTTTAGTCACAAGAATGTTTTGCAGTTTTGGCTAATCAAAAAATTTAAAAACCTCATCCTTTAGCTTCTATGATTTAATTAACGGTCTCTGCTAAAATCTCTAAAATTGTTCGATTTCATGAGGGGGAGTGCAAGTTGAAACGGAGCCACGCCCATGAATGGTGCACCACTGACATTTGGGGGGTCAGAACGTCGATATTTCTTCTAGATACTGCCCTGTAGACATTGACCTATTTTATTTCTATAGAACTAACGAAGAGAGACTTCGAATAGATGAAGGTGAAGCACAAAAGCTCGAGCAGCAGATCAGGTAAAATTCTGCAGTTGTCTCTAATATATCAAGTCACACCTAAAAATAAGCAAGCACATACCGGACTGGGACCGGTTGTAGCTCGTAACTGCTTTTTAACTGCCCGTCTTGTGGTTAAATTACTTAAATTGTAGTTAACTCTAAAAGACGATCATAATTACTTGACTTCCGCGTTAGTCCACATTTGAATTTTTCCTATTTTAGATAACTTTGGTAGTAAATAGACATAACAAAATATCTTGTGTCCCAACTTTTCTTGCCTCCCAACTTTTCTTGCCTGTCAATTATTTGCTTAAATAATACTCAAGGTATGAGTAAAAACAAACAACAGAGAATATTAAACTATATATTGATAATCTAAACGTTCATTGAATGAATTTTCTACTGTTTACCTTTTGTTTTCTTCACTAGTGATGCTGAGCGAAAGTACAAAGAACTCAATGATAAAGCGGATGGATATCAATCTCAAATCAACGAGTCCAAGGTTGATAAAAACGAGAATCAACGATTTCAAAGAAAGCAAGAACTGCTTGACAGCCTGAAACGATTGTTTCCTGGTGTATATGGCTGTCTCATTGATCTGTGTGAACCTGTGCACAAGAAGTAAGCTTATCATTGTGTTTGTATTTAAATTGAAGGTAAAGTAATAGAATTGCCGAAACTTGCAAGTTGCAAAAGTGTTCAACTTTCCTCCGGATAAAATATCAGGTTTTCAAACCTTCCTCAAAACAATATAAATAATAGCTTTTTCAATTTGCAAAATATATAAATTATTAAAAATCGGCTTTTTATTCCTACTGACTAGTATTTAGCAATGATCAGCTGGTTGATTGCATTGTAATCACATACACATAAACAATACAGACTGCATGGTGACTGCTAGCAGATGTCTATGTTACGGTTCCTACAAAAACACGGTCCCCAGAAAGTAGGGTCCCTCCTCACTGACCTTCATATATGGTAAACCGTCCTTGACGTGACGTCATTTTCGGAAGGTGGAAGAACTGTTATATGGCTACGTAACAAACCCTACCCCTATTCTAACCCCTAACCGCATCTCTGACCCTAACCCTAACCCTAACCAAATTAAAAAAAAAATCCAAAAAGAAACAACTTTAGAAATTGATCAAATGACGTAACGTCAGTTTGGTAGATGGAAATAAGTGAAACCCACCTTCCTTTTTGCAACTGAGAGCAACCACTTTAGGTAGAAATATTTACCCACGTTGTCTTGTCTTTTGTAACTTATAAGTGAATGTTTTTGACCGGCCTTGTTTAGATATAATATAGCTATCACTAAAGTACTTGGCAAAAACATGGATGCTGTTGTTGTGGACACAGAAAGGACTGGTAAAGAATGCATCCAATACGTTAAATCCAAGGTAACTCATTCTTTAAACTCGTACCCAGGATCTTATTTGCTACCGCGGAGTTGAAACCTGCCTGAAGGCAAGACAGTGACGTCATTGCACAATGTGTATTGATCGCGATCAGCTGTACGATCGTTTTTGTTGTTTTTACAATAATTAAACTGCATATCTTTCCATGATATTTCTTCGCCAGCAGACGTTCAGACCATAAAATTCGTGCCACATGTCATTTGAACTTCCAACAGTTAAATTATGTTTGTTCCAATTTTAAGATTAGCGAATGTCATCCATGTAGCTACCTGTCAAATTTTATTCTTCAATAGGCAATTCCAGCTTTTAGTTTATGCCTGCAGGGGATGATGGGAAGTAAGGTATCATATTGCCGATTATGCTGAAAATTTTCAATAAAAACTACCGAAACAACCGAAATATTTCAATATTTACAAGTATAAGCTATCACTCCGTGTTTACACGGCCACCATTTTTATTTTTTCAGCATAATCAGCAATGTGATACCTTACTTTCCATCGCCCCCTGCACGCATAAACTAAAAGCTGGAATTGCCTATTCATAGTGTTCCTTAATTAAGGTGATTCATCCGTATAAATTGTTCTGGAAATGAGAATTTGCTGGAACTTCCTGGGGATGAAGTTTATGATTTGCTCAATCACCGACCTCGTTTCGAAGTTCCCAAATGATCCCTCAACACCCCTACTATCCAATATTTGCACGCCTTGAATTCACCGTCTTTGGCTTCACTTTTTTCACGGAATGTATTTGTTTAGGATATGTTTTTATAAATTCACTTGTATTCCATTTTAGAATGGTGACCCAATTACATTTCTTCCTCTGGACACTATTCAAGTAAAAGCAATTGATGAAAGACTGCGTCAGATTGGTGGAGCAGCAAAACTTGTCATGGATGTTATCCGCTGTGAACAAGCGCAAGTTAAGGTGTGTAGTTTTCCATTAGTTTTCCCTTGCATGGGGGCAGATCTGGCAATAAAGTGGTTAAATGGATCGCGTGTTCTAGTTCGAATTCCATTCTTCCACCCTTGATTAAATTTGTATTGTGTTGTGTTGTGTTGTGTTGTGTTGTGTTGTGTTGTGTTGTGTTGTATTGTATTGTATTGTACTGTAACCATGATAACTCTTCAAAGTTCTCAAACAAAAACAACAACCAACCGCAGTAAGTGCCACAGTTTTGCTCTGACGCCATGTTTGCTTTTAATTGATAATCTTTAATTTGCCACCCAAAATGGCGAAGTCAATTACAAATACCACTAATCTGAAATAAGACTGGATAACGCATCTATAGTATACAAAAGTGAAGCCGGAAGTCACCGGCCGCCACCCGATCCTGGGGCCCCACTTTTGTATAGATTTGTATTACAGACGGTAGTAATATTACAACTCTGAAGGAGTGGAAAGCCTCAGACTTTGTTTATCAACGCGAGCTCGTTTTGCCACTTTAATACAAAATCAACTCAAAATATACAAGAATTACTGTTACTGGACGAATATTCTCACGAAATTTGAAGAAATGAAGCAGCTACATTGTGAACAAAAGCGTACAGAGGTTAGACTTTGTTTATCAACACGAGCTCGTTTGCTACGTTCATACAAAATCAACTTAAAATATACAAGAATTATACTGTTACTTACTGGACGAATATTCTCAGGAAACTTGAAGAAACGAAGCAGCTACATTGTGAACAAAAGCGTACTGAGGTTAGTTTTAAAATACCGTGAGGCTACTTTTATAATTATACGATCGAATTTAATAAGGAACAGTTTTAAATGTCAATTTTGTCAAAAGCATTTCTAGGCGACTTGTCGAGAAGTTTTATATGTTTTAAAGTAGGAAGACAAGTGACAATGAAATATTTTTAATCCAAATTACAATAAACAACGACTCAATATGTTATTTTAATTCATATAATTATGGAAGTAGCCTCAAGGTATTTTAGAACTAACCTCTGTACGCTTTCGTTCACAATGTAGCTGCTTCATTTCTTCAAATTTTGTGAGAGTATTCGTCCAGTAACAGTAATTCTTGCATATTTTGAGTTGATTTTGTATGAAAGTAGCAAAACGAGCTCGCGTTGATAAACAAAGTCTGAGGCTCTCCGCTCCTTCAGAGTTGTAAATCCCGTTTCGCGGCGTTATAAAGCCATAATACTCAAATTTTTTTGCTTTTGCTCAAAATTCTTGTATGCTTCTATCGTTGTGATTGTAAAATTGGCCTGATCGGAAACGTAGCCAAGGCAAAAAACGCGAAAAACTACAGTCTGTAATACAAGTCTATACAAAAGTGGGGCCCCAGAATCGGGTGGCGGCCGGTGACTTCCAGCTTCACTTTTGTATACTATAGATGCGTTATCCAGTCTTATTTCAGATCAATGACAAATACGTGTTGTAACGTTAGTTGCAAGAACCTAGTAAGTCAATTGGGATAGAGCACAAATTCAAATTATATAAATACTACTAATAATGCGTTTGTGCTATCAGTACATGCATTGTATCATTTCCTCCTTACGATGGCTCTGAGTACTGTACTATATATACTGTTTCTACTGTACTATCATGTACTGGATTGTACTTCTCCTGTACCGTGCCCTGTCCCTTGTCATAGTTCATTAATTTCATTGCAATGTATACCCTCACAACAGCGTGCTCTTCTGTTTGCGTGTGGTAACGCTCTTGTATGTGACAATGTTGAGGAAGCTAGAAAACTTGCGTACAGTGGTCAGGAAAGAAAGAAAACCATTTCTCTTGATGGCACCATGTTCCAGAAATCTGGAGTTATATCTGGAGGAGCGAGGTAAAACAATATATAGCATTGCTTTGGGGGGGGGGGGATATCCTGGGTGTGCCAATAGAAGATAGAGTGCTTGCATACTGTACATTACAAGAGTACTTTGGGCATCCAGTTTCCAGTTTATTGTCCTTGACGTTATAGTTGTTGTTGTTGACTTGTTGTTTTTGTCGTCGTTGACGATGATGAAGATTAAGTTTCTTGAGTTCAACAGTGCAGTCCAAGTAGCACATTCGGTAAAGCAAATACTATATGCTGACATTCGGAACATTGCGATTTCCATCAACACATACCGATTGTATTTGCTTTAAAAATACTTATACTCATCAATGTTTTTGAGCATAAAAGCTGATGAAAACCCTTAGCCCCATGCTGAACTTAAACCCGTATTCCCTAGATTGCTAACATGATGCTCTGCTAGTTCTATTGGAATATATATGTTACCATTCTTCGTAATTTTCATTGACTTTGATCATCTTTCTGTTACAGTGATCTAAGTTCTAAAGCAAAGAGATGGGATGAGAAGAATGTGGAAGCGATGAAGAAAAAACGTAATGACTGTTTGGCACAGTTGAAAGAGCTAGCTGCTGATAGACGAAAAAGACCAACTTTGGATAACCTCAAGTCCCAGATTGAAGGTTTACGAACACGATTGCAGTATACACAACGTGAAGTTGAATCAAATGTACGTGTCACGCATTTTCCTCTTCGCGATCTGACTCTACGCACAGGGACGTACTCTAACAGTAGTGGACACGAAATATTAGGGCGCAAATTTAGGTTGCCAGCATCTCCCTTTTGTTGCTCATATATGCTCAAACTTACTCATGAAAAAAAAACACACTTTTATGAAACAAAAAACCCTTGTTACTCAGGTTTACAAAAAACCCTTGTTACTCAAAGATTTTAAGACTATATCGCAGGGTGGTCGCCCTCCTAATGCCCACCACAGCGCCACTGTACTATACTGTAATTTGATCACTAATCAAAAATTGGTAGTCATACATTGTAGTCATTTGGAGACTTACTATTGATGTGAGATAGCGACTCCAAAACCACTCATTTGACCAGCCAAATTGCCAAGCCTGTCAGTTGTGTTCGCTAACCCATCATAACTTACAGGCACAATTCACATAATTATATTTGTCACAATTAACCTTTCTCATGCGGGTCAGAGAGTCTAGACAATCTAAACAATGTGAAAAGTGACTTTTCAAAGAATTAACTGTAAAATTACCATAATACACACAACTACAGTACCATAAAAGCAACCATAAAAAGTCATGCTCTCAGACTTGGGAACGGCAGTGCCTGCAAAATGTCGGACAAACCTAACGTGAGAAAGGCTAATTATAATTCACATAATTATATTTGAGGGGTTAATTTTTATTTCTGAACAGGAAAACCGACAACGTGATTTGAAAACGCAAATTACACTTGGAACACAGAATGTACAATCTCTCAAGGTCGGTACTTCATGTTATTAGGGTAATACTATGCTACAATATTTCTCTGTGTAATGTCTTGGTTTGTCAATACAGTATATACGAAACAAGATAAATAAAATAAATTGAACAAAGAATTTCTCTGATACTAGTTAATTGTACTCTAGGTTTTTAGGTTGATATAGAGAATTCCAAACAAAACATTTCGAAAAATGAAAGGTTTATGTACAGTAATGAATACTGTAAATGTGAAACAAAATTATATGCAAATTACCTGGAAATGGTCAGAAATTCAACTTCCAAAGTTTTATACACTGCTATAGCATGGAAACTTTTCAGAAAAAGGGTGGAAATTTTGTATGTGAGCCCTTATTTAATACACGCCGGTCTGCACTATCAGTCAACTGGCCGTAACGATTGTCGGTACAAGAGTGATATATAAATATGAATGGTGCTTTGAAACAGTTGACTGGTAATTTTGTTCTTGAATTTCTTCGGGAATTTCATTAATTTACTTACGTGAAAATAGTGATCAAAAATCATAGATATCTTATATACACTAGATAGCGCATCTCTTTTTGTAAAATTGAAGCCAAGAATGTTCCAGCGGTTACCCCCATTTGAATAAATGGCGGCCATGTTGGTCGTTCCCACTTGCTAATAAACGCTTAAAAACAACAATAACTTTCATCATTTGAATAGTTTAAAAACGTATTTGGATTAGGGTTAACTTAATGTTTATGTTCCCTGTTTAAGAAATAGAAAACATACGAATCTTCTCATTTCATGGGAACGACCTGAGCCTGCAATCACGGCTTCAATTTTTGAATTGCAGAATAATTAGATGCACTATCTAGTGTATATAAGATATCTATGGCAAAAATATGTCTGTTCGGAAAACGCTTCAGTTTTGTTGGTCACAAATCCTCTGGCTTTTGCTTTTTATATTTCTTCTTTATTTACAGCCAAATATAAAAAAGCTTGAAAAATCTCTGGCAGACAGACAGAAGTCGATAACGGCGACTCAAGAAAGAATTAACAACGTGGAGGACGAGGTATACATTTTTTGTTATCATTAAATTACTGCAACACTTTTAAAACACGCAATGGAGTTAATTCTAACCTCGCTGTATATTCACCTAACATAGTTTTCTTCCTGATTAGGCTTGTTCAAAGATACATGTAGTTACACATTGACTCAACCCATTATGTTAATGTTAGTTTAGTTTGGAAATTTTGAGTGTTATTACAAGGTATTGCCATGAATACAATAAGCGTATAAAATGGTGATATCACTACTTCTGATGGTCGTGTTCATTTATTAGGGACCTTTCCCTGTCTGGACTAATCACACCCACCTAGTTTTCTATTTAATGAAAAATACTTCAAAATATTCCCTTTGCTTCTTTCAATTGTAATGGTGTTTTTGAAGGTTTTCGAAGATTTTTGTCAATCAATTGGCGTTGATAACATAAGGTTTGTTTATTTGAATTGTTTTATTTACTCGAAACTTTCAGATGTTGTGTTTTGGTCAGATCAACAAGTTCATTTCAGTCTTCAATTACTCTCCCCAGGCATGGTCTAATACTTGCATTTACCTCAACTTGTCATTTAGTTTTATTAACTCAGCTGGCGTTAGGCTGGCGATGTGAAGCTTATACTGTTCAAGTCCCGGGGATGAAACTCTGGAGTTTTTCCCGAGCTTTATGAGCTACTATAGGCAAAGCAAGAGTTTTTATTTTCTTCAAACATGATTCACATACACATGCAAAGACCACATATATATATATATATATATATATATATATATATATATATATATATATATATATATATATATATATATATATATATATATATATATATATATATATATATATATATATATATATATATATATATATATATTTGTTTATTTTTGCGTTCAGGCAATATGAGGAAAAACAACTGAAAACTCAACAAGAAAGAGCACAAAGGCGATTGGAATTTTCTAATCAAGAATCTAAGTTAAAAAGTCAGGTATGGTTTGTCGTAAGTCCTGGTTTTAGAAAGATCTATTACCACATGCAGAAATGTATAATTTACATGTACAATCACATTTTACTGTAGCTGGAATACGAGCAGGGTCGTGACACTAAAGGTAAGTAGTCGCTCTTTATAATATTGCATATCATTACATCTTTATCGTAGACATACTGCTCCATACAAGCAACCTTTCCATATTGCTGTTGCCTATCGAACTATATCGATTCTGCAGATTTAACCACATTCTATACAAATCGTAAAACAGTATATTATTATTATAATTCATTTATATAGCGCCATTTCCCGTAGCTCAATAGCGCTTAACATTTAGTGTTAAAAATATACAGCCAGTTCAAAAAAGGTTGTCCTTTGCAAACCTTAAACTCTAAGCGCGCAAAGCTTAATGGGAAGCACAAGTTCAAGCTTAGTAGTTGAATATTGCAGCTATTTGTGAATGAATTGTTCTCATAAAGAGATATTTATCATGTCTCTAAGAAATGAGCCCCATTATGATTTCTAAGCTGATTAAATGATGCTCCCATTATGCTTTGCACACTTAGAGTTTAAGGTTTAGAATTGCAAAGGGCGGCCTTTTTTTATTAGCTGTATACAAAGTGTTACAACATATATGTACGAGGATGCATATTACACAACCTCTGTCGCAGGGACTTTGCACCTGCTGGGAAAAAGACCCTGGGTACCAGGATGCATATTACATGCATTAACTACTAAAATTAAAGTTACTATATTTTACTATATATTATGTTCAATATAAAATTACTTTATGTCATGTATGTTGACAATATTAGAACAACAACTGTATAAAATACTATAAAATTAAAAATACTGTTGTTAAAGTGACAACTTAGTCATAGTACTGTTTAAAAAGATATGTCTTTAATCTTGTTTTAAAAATGGGCAAGGTCTCACTCTTTCTAATATACTCTGGCAGTTCGTTCCACAGTTTCGGTGCAGCATATGAGAACGATCGTTCACCATAGTTCACTAGTCGTACTGAGGGTACGCTAAGGAAACCTTTGGATGACGAGCGTACATTTACTGATGGTGTGAAAGGTTTTAGCATATTATTAATAGATAGTACCAACCATCATGATCTGAAAATAGCACACAAGCTAAACAGGCATATGGGAGGTCGACAGTATATGTATATAGTAAGTGGACCTTATCAAGCAGCATCGTACAACTTCACGAAGATTTTGTAATTCATTTACTAATTCAATAACTTTCTTTATTTTCAGCACCAGTGAGGAAACTTCAAAAAGATATCGAAGCGGACGAGAACAATATTGTGAAATTGAAAGAAGCTGAAAAACGCGAGTTGGAGGTTAGATAATTCGTATATATAGTTATTCAATAATTATACAGTCTCTCTAACGCCGTGTTTACACCGGGAGCGCGTTGACCTGAGTCAAGGCCAGGCAATGTAATGGCGATGCAATTAGAAAGGGACAGAGCTAGTGTCTGTATTTTGATTGTATTATAGAGATTATTTTAAAGAAAGCTTATTAGAATTTTGTCGAGGCAATGGAGGCAATGGAGGCATAGGAAACGGAACAATGAGCGGTTCGACTAATATAAAGGGAGAAAAGTACTGTGAAGGTTGATTTTGGTTTATATAAATGAATTGTTTAAATATTTTCAGGATATAAATAAAGAAACAGATGCCCTGAGTAAATTTCGTTTGGAACAGCAAGCAATGAAATCACAACTGGATGAAAAGGTATGCTTAAGAAGTTTCTGGAACAGACAGTAAGTATATAAGAAGTTACTTATTGAAGTTAGTTAGTCCAACTTGAGTTGGAACTATTACAGCAGAGCTGGCTTAGAACAACGACCACATATACGGTTGGGGCGGCACGAGTCCATGCATATGAATTATTCACAATGTCAAGAATTTCAGAATTTATTTAAAAATATTTAAAAATCACGGCTCACAAAGCATGCTTCGTCTCGAAAATCTGTCTTAAAAAGTGCTCAAAAATCTCGACCACGTCTAGTCCAAGACTAAAACATGTGAATTACGATGTGCTTGACAGTATAGTCCTCCGTAGGAGCAATAACGATACATTACATAGAGCCATTTATACGAACGAAATTTACTGTTTATACGAGTCGTTCGCGACTTATTTAATCCGCGACTTAGTTAGGCCGCGGCTTATTTTCGCTCGTATAAATGGCTCTACACTCTAAAAACACTCTGGTTAAATTCAACCAGGAATTGGGTTAATAATCCACCCAACACATTCTGGTTAAATATAACCCATTTCCTGGTTAAAAATTATCAATTCAACAAAAATTTGGTACACTTTTTTGGACTTTTAACCAGGAAAATGGTTAATTTTTTTTAACCAGACTTGTGTAGGTGGATTTTTATCCCCGTACTGGTTGAATTTAATAACCCAAATTTAACCAGAGTGTTTTTAGAGTGTATTATATCTTTCAGGCAATTATACCTTTCAGGCAATTATACCCCTTAATCATCCAATATCAACCCATCCACACTCTCCGGCTGAAACCTGGACCATGCGTCAGCTGTAGTAGTTCAATCTGTCCTTTTTTCATTTCTAAGGAACTCCAAGTAAAAGAAGTCAGGAAAGTGCTGAACAACCAAGTAAAAGAAGTGGGACACAAACAGAAAGAAATAACATCCATTGTGAGTTTTCTACTACCATAACATGCGTTTTCAAGATATGTTGTTTGTCGGACACCGATGGTTATGGCTTCTCGACACATTAATTTTCCACCTTATTTCTACGTTTTAAAGGAAGCGGAAATGGAACAAAAGAGAAGTGAACGACATGGTACGCTCAAAAGCTGCAAGGTAATTGCATTTGTTGTGTTTACTTTTTATGAAATGATGGAATTTACTATGTTGTGAAATCTCTAATGTGAAATGTTTACATACCAATACACCCGTACGGAAAGAACGTCACTTTAGCTATAGAGCCTCGTTTTCGTGTATCAGACGTCCGTTAAAGGCCACGTCACAAACACGAAAACGAGGCTCTCTAGCCAAGGTGACATACTTTCCGGAAGCGTGTATTGAGCTGTCTGTAATGCTTATCTTTCGTCCGCTTCAGCTTGATAACATACCGCTGCCTTTTAAACGTGGAAGCATGGATGACATAGAACTGGTGAGGACTCTTTTACAGTAACTCGTGTGTATTTTCTCAGTTCTGATTTTTGCATTTTAACATTTGCGTATAGTCTGGTTCAGGCTCAAGTCAAACTGAAACAACTGACTCTATGGAAACTGATCAGGATGTCAGTGAGGTAATATTGTAATACGATTAATTAGGTAACACTATGCCAAAATAATGGGAAAACTGCCGATGATACAATTCTCGGGACATCAAACAATCCTATCATTACTGGCTAGGTCGGCCTACATTATCACAATAGACCCTTCTGGAAAGTACCTGGCTATAGAGCCTGGTTTTCGGCATCACGACATCGCATTTAACGGTTTCAGGAATATCTTAACACCTAAAGTTGCGATAATATGACAAAATAAAACGAAAACTGTTAAAGGGGGAAGTTTTGTGGGCAGATTATTAAGATATTACTCCTGAACGACATATGTCGATGTCGTAAAAGCGAATCCGGTATCGTGTAACTGGGCCTTATTATATCAAGGTATTCTATATATTATGTGCTATAGATAAAACATGAGCAGCCGATCTGTATCTGATATAAAAACTTGAGCCGAAGGCGAGAGTTTGTATATCAGATAAAAGTCGGATGCGAATGTTTTATCGTGCTTAAAAAACGACCCATCTTATGAGTTCATTGGCGAAGTAATTTTAAAAATAAACACTGTCTAAGCCGAGAAAATCAAAGCTGAAGTTTATGTAAATCAGGACAAATCTTTATCCGATTTACAAGCATTGATTAAACATTCATTTCTTTTGTATTTTCCTCGTTTTTTAACTGATATTATAACTGTATGATTTCGTAAACTTGTCACCTTTAACAAGATAAAGGCTCTAAACTCAATATCTCTAATCACGAAAACGAGGCTCTATATATCCAAGGCTGAGTACTTTCCGGAATGGTGTATTGTATAGTATCTGCAGATATGTTGATTGGGTGTATATTACAGTAGTACATAAAATGTCTCATTGTGCACCTCACTATCGCGGTGGTATGAACGCTGGTACGTTAAGCCTTATCCTTGAATTCGATTGCCGCTTGGGATATTTAGAAATTAATTTTAAATTAAGCAAGTGATTCGAGTTAAATTGGTTAGCATAATTATCTAGTTGCATTGCTAACATGTTCTTTCTTTCAGGGAACCCGTGCATTGGTCAAAGAATTAGACAACATACAATTAGACTACCATAGTTTGAGAAGAGATCTTAAAAATGTAAGTATACCATGTGACTACTCTACAATCACTCTCATTTCGTTTAGTAAGAATTTTACTCATTCATAGTCATGGTGTAACGCAATTTATTATGGTTTACGTTTGCGATTTTATTTCTTATGGTTTACGTTTGCGCTTTTGTAGAAGTATTAGTAATTGTATATGGATTCGAGTACAATTTGGAAAAAACATGCACGAGTGAGTTTTTCAAAGATGATGAAGTCTTTGAAAAACTCACGAGTGTTTGTTTGTTTCAAATTGGAGGAGAAACCATACTATTATACTTACTAATAAATACACAAGAAAAAATTATGCAGAATCAAATTCATTGTCACTTGCATGCAAAAAACACATGCGAAATAAATAAATTACTCATTTCAGTCATTTGAATGATACAACCAAATATAATATCAAAATTCTGCATTTTATTTTTAGCAGTGTATTTCGATAAAATTACACTCCTAATCGAGTAATTTTTCATGTATATTATTACACGACTATAATTAGCTATTAATCTAGAATTTTGTCCTGTGTGGCTCAGACAAAGTAATTAGGAGAATGTTAGTGCTAGTTTCGATGAAAACATTCTTCCATTTATGGCCAGATCCTGTTGCAAGCGGAACAGTGTGTCCGATGCATCCATAGTTAACATTCAATTATGAACTATTATTACAGATTGAGGGTGCATCAGAAGTACGGAACATGGAAACAGAGATATTTAATAAACTAAACAAATTAGAAACAACACTACAAAGAATTCAAGCTCCAAATATGAAGTCTAGAGAAAAGTAAGTCATACGCCCAAGTGCGGTTGCGGACTTTAGGGCGGACAAGGAGGACACCGCCCCATCCCACCCAATCATCTCCGAAAGCTTTGGAATGATTGCTGAGTAACTGTGTAACAAAACTTTGACTGGCAATGATTTTACCCTGAACTCTGAAAACCTTGATAGGCTAATTTAATAAATAGTTCATAATCATAAACAGTGAGACATGAATCCTATAAGGGGCGGACCATTAGAAATCCCGGGAGGGGGGGTATAAAATTTTTGTGGCACGAATTTTTTTTTCAGTCTCATGTCTCTGCAGGATTTTTTTTTAATGCATTTAACCTCTGCACGAATTTTTTTTCAAGACTATTTGTACTTTGCTGTTTGCTTGCACGATTTTTTTTTTCTCTGATGTAATGGCTGCACGAATTTTTTTTCCAGGCATTTTTCTTTGCACGAATTTTTTGGGGGGAATTTTCACCCCCCTCCCGGGATTTCTAATAGTCCGCTTCCGCCCCTAACCAATATTTGGGAAAGTGTCCACCACTGACCAAGTGTGAACATGTAGTGTTATTGATCGCAGATCATGTGGTGTAATGGACTAACCAGCACCAACTCTACTTATACTGATTAGCGTAACTGTAGTATACCGTACCATATTGGTGTAGTGTTACATTAGGATTAGGATTACATTAATATTTCAGTAAAAGCTATTTAAAATATCACAATAACAAACAGCATAAAAATATTAGAAATCTCACCTACCTACGAAAGTTCCGATAAAAATGTCTGCTTTTTGCACAAAAACATTCACAAAAAGCCCTTCATTCGTCTTGCCGTTTCTTATTTTTATTTGTGTATTTAAAACTGCCGCTTGCTGTAATATTACTCATCGCGGGCTCAACCTACACATAACTCATACCTGGTAGCATATAACTGTTATGTGTAGGTTGAACCTGGTTGCGTGATTTCCATATTTAGCTGAAAGCTGTCGGTCAGTCAGAAGACACGTAGTGATTACAATGTATAATATTTACATGACTGCAATACTGTAACCTATAAATAGCTGCATGATCAAAATCGCTTAATATGATTTCAATTGTTGGTCATTTAGGTTCGAAGGTGCAACAAACAGGCTACAAGAGACGAGCGAACTTTGCGACAGATCAAGAGAAAGATCAAGAAAATCAAAAATGGAATTCGATAGCGTTAGACGTAAAAGGTGAGTAAAAGTAGAATTGTAATGACGAAATAATTTGTGATTAATCCTTCGTTTGTTTTGCTTTCACAAGCTTCCATAACTTCCAGGTTGCTAGCATGACGAAGCCTGATGCTCTGGTAATAAATACTGCATGGTATTTAAGCCTGGTCCCTACAGAGAGAGTAAAGTTGGTCTGACAGAAAGATAGAAACATAACAACATAGAGTAGCACCAAATAAAACAATTCCTTGTTTTTGTACAATATACTAAGCTTTTATTTAGAGTATTCTTAATCTAAAAAACCTGCCTCTAAAAAACCTGCCCATATATTCAAAATATAAATTTCATGAACTCCATTGTAGCGGTGGACCCTAAGGAGGGGGGCATGTAGGGAGGGTGGGGTTAATTATTTTAAAAATCTTTGAATGATAGCCGAGTAACTGTGTTGAAAGATGTAAACAATAATTTTTCAACCATTAAAGCATTCGTAGGCTATACATTGTTTGGTCTTCGCATGGGACTCGTCGTTGACTATACCTTCAACCATATTTAAATTAAGTGTTGCTCAGTTTTTCAAAAGCTTGCTTGTGCTAATTTTATAGCACTTTTGCTAATTAATAAATAAATAAAACTAAGCTAAATATTGCGTGGGAATTTAAGGTAACAAAGTTTAAAGAACTAAGATTGCCAGCATAAAAAAGGTGGTCGTATGTTGGCATCTTAACACCTCCCCCACCCCACCCCCCTTTGGTAACGACAAATCCACAATTATCGCTTGGCTGCCATGCCCATGATGTTCTTTTGTATCATTGAGATACAAATCTGTTCTGATTTAGATACGAGCGATTCATGGAAGCATTCGAACACGTCGCCAATCGCATTGACGAGAACTATAAGGTTTGCTATGTACAATTTAGATGCCACTCATATTTGAAAAACATAACATTCGGCTGTCGCCACGTCTTTTAAATCTGATAAAGCACTTCTGCTTGTGTTTTAAAAAGTACTTAACACCCAGAATTTCAATAAAGTATATATGTGCTACCTTAAGCCCATTTTCCACTAGGCGAATTTGTTCGCACGAACAGTAAAAAAGTAGGAACCGATCCAATTTTTTCGCTGACCAATCACATTGCCAAGATTGTTTTTCGCTTCGCGCGAACAAATTCGCCTAGTATACGTAGTTCTGCCATTCGTGAGCATTATATATTATAACCGTTGCCAATATTTCTAGTTCTTATTTATTTTCTAGGAACTCTCAAATTATTCGAGTGCGCAAGCATTCTTAAGTCCAGAAAACGCCGAGGAACCGTATTTAGAAGGTATTAATTACAGCTGTGTTGCACCGGGTAAAAGGTATGTTAACTTTCAAAAATTATCTACTATTCTAAGATGCAAGACCTTTTTGAAAGAAAATCTTTCTTAAAGTAGATCTATAACAGCATGGATTGATAACAGCTACAAAGGAAAATGATCTGCATTGTAATTTTTGGTAAATATCAGGATTTGGGGCATCTCACTCGATACAACGAACTGTTAAAGGATTTTGTAGATGGAAATTTCGAGTGTAAATTTTATACTTTTACTAGACCTGACCTGGAGCTTAGACCTGATCTGGTGTATACATTGTTTTCCTGTGGATAGTAGACTAAAATAGACATATGTGTTAAAGGGTTTTGGTTGATGAAAATTGCGAGCGAAAATTATGTACATATTTTAGTACAGGGGTACATATGACAAGGATAAATTTGTATGTTCTCCTTGCTAATAAAACCGCGTTAACCACATGCGGCCCTTGTCTCTCATGCTTCTTGAATATATGTCATTTGCCTCGGAAGTGTAAGATAGGGAACGAAAGTCAACTTTTTCATGTGCTTGCGTTTTTACCACTTCTATATGTATTTAAATTAATATCTTCAAGAAACAATATTTATTAGATTCCGACCAATGGACAACTTATCTGGTGGTGAAAAAACGGTTGCTGCACTTGCTTTACTCTTCTCAATACGAAGGTTTGTGTCTTGAAATGTTTTCTATATTATCACTAAACGTAGCTGCAAGTACCCAACCTCATTCTCAGGGCTTTTAGTAAAGCGTGGTGGAGCTCGTCCTCCCCCTGCCGTGCACCCACCCTCGCAGAAAACCCCGAGGGCGAGTTTTGCACACGAGATATACATGTGTATGGTTCTTCAGAACGATACTCTGGCCTGAAGATAATCCGGAGCAGATCTGTACAGAGAATGAATTGCGAAGAATGAATTTCTTGTCTGATATGCCCTGCTGTGCAAATGTCTCCATTGGGAATTGACTGTGAGATATATTACCTTCTTTTATAGTTGTCAACCGGCGCCATTTTTCGTTCTGGATGAAATAGATGCAGCTTTGGATAACACGAACATCAACAATGTAATATTTTTTTACTTGAATGTAATTACTCTTCCTTTATATGCCCAACGACCAATTTTACAACATCAAAATGCATCCTTCCATAAAACAGCGCTAAGGGTTTTTTCGCGGATGGAAAGGAAATGTCGAATGAAGATCTATATATATTTAAAACATCTATCCTGGGGCGGTTGCGAAAATGCAACGAGGCCCACTTGGCCTCCTTTTCGGGTATACAGGGACGCGCGTCCCCAAAAACAAAAATTACAGTACATTTCATGGTAAATATCGCGATTTTCGAAAGCTTATTATTTGAAGGGTATTCATGTAAACGTCTTCTTCAAACTTTGTATACTTATTAATTTTGAGGTGTTCTTTTTAGTGATTTGGTTCATTTCGTAATTTGGGCACTTTTAACACTCGTCTCCAGACCTCTCATCAACTTCGGAATGGCTAATATTCTAGCGAGACGCCCAACCCGACGTAATTAAAAATGTATACGTTTTATCGTTTACATCCAGGTTTCGTCGTACATCGAAAAACAAACTAAAACGAACTTCCAGTGTATAGTTATCTCGTTAAAAGAAGAGTTCTATTCACGAGCGCAAGCACTGATTGGAATTACATGCGAAGTAAGTGTATTCACCCAGAGCCGCCGAGAGGGGGGGGCAAATTGCCCCGGGCCCCGAGGTGCTGGGGGGCCCTGAAAAAAATTTGTTGGGCCCAGTCTTTTTTCTGTGTTAAATATTTCCGCGCAAAGGACAACATATCTGTTTTATTGGGCTAAGTACCAAAATTAGGTATAGAAAAATGAGATAAAGTCCCTTGAAAGTGTGTGCAACGTACTCGTCCGGAAAAATTTTTGACCCCTAAAATGGTACACTGACCGAAATTTTTTTTGCGACGGGGGGGGGGGAGTTGTTGTCCGGAAAAAAAATTTTCCGGAAATTTTTTATTCAAAAAGGGGGCCCCCTAAAAAAAATTTGCCCCGGGCCCCCGCCAACCTCTCTGCGGCACTGTATTCACCTGATAATATGTCAAGACGAAACTATAGTTATAATTTCGCAATCTACGTCTGTTGGCTATGGGTCCTGACGCATTGTACTGGACCCCTTCCAACTACTCGGCCACATTTTCACCCTAATAACTGACACGAGGCTGAATGCCGACTGTCGGTTCGAGGGAAATATATACTCATGCGCGAAACACGAGTATGTTATCTAAGTTGCTGTCTAGGAAGGCAGCACAGTCTCCGGGATAAATAGATGAATAGCATCAATTGTCAAAAGTGTACAAATTGATAATCATCTATCTAGGGGAAACTCTAACCCTAACCTGTAACCCTAATCCTAATCTAACCCGAATCTGAATTTGGCGACCTTTCTTTGTAAATTTTACACACCGTCCTATATGGTCTTCGCGAGTTCTACAGGGTTCGTATAGTGGTCTTTGAAATCCTTGAAAGTCTTTAAATTTGAATGCAGGTCTTTAAGGTCTTTGAAAAGTCTCATGGTCTTCGCGAGTTCTACAGGGTTCGTATAGTGGTCTTTGAAATCCTTGAAAGTCTTTAAATTTGAATGCAGGTCTTTGAAAAGTCTTTGAATTGTGTGAAAAAGCGAAGAAAGTCTTTAAATTCTTTAGTGAGTATTTGATTATACGATTTCCTAGCTAATAAAATAGATTGATTGAAACAAGATTTTCGCAAATATCGACGAAAAGGTGCATTTTAGGATGTGTTTTGACAGGACTAATTACCGGGTAAAAATGGTGCTTACACTCGCAATTTTTCGACAGCTGATTGCTCTCAAAGGTCTTTGAAAAGTCTTTCAAAATAGGCAGAAAAAATCTTTGAAAGTCTTTGAATTTTTTTGGTCTTGGAGACTACGAACCCTGTTCTAATACCGCACGTTATTATATTTATGTTTTCGTTCCTTTGTTTCTAGCCTGACCAAGAATGTACAGTGAGTCGAGTGTTCAGTTTGGACTTAACTAAATATAGCGACTGAGTTAATAAGGTGGTTTAGTTCATCAACAAATTACCCTTGTGCATGCCTGTTGATTGTTAGAACGTATTTTAAAAATATAATCGAATTAGCATGTCTTGACTTTTGTTTATTGTTACTATGTAAAAACATGCATTTGCATGGGCTTTTTAATAAATGCTACCTTTTGTTAAAGTGGTGTTCTTTGTTTTAAACCTTTCACTGTCTCGTCTGTTATAATATCCCTACAACAGAAGTGCAGCAAGAAGTATGTAGCCTTCTTGTTTTCAATTTTCAAATTTCAATTATTCGGAACCGGGTGTTCGAAAAAACGGGGCAGTTGATTGAACATAGTGAACGTTTAAAAATTTGCGAGTCACACTTGACGAATCGTTGTGGTTTTAATAACCACATTTCATATATGAAAAAACTAAAGTGTGATAATAAAAAGTGGCAGAGCACCTGAGGTTTTGCTAAAGTCAAACTAAAAGCTCCCTCGTCATATGCGACTGAAATTATAATCAGACGACTGCAGAACGAAAAACACTTGGTCGTGGTGTGCCATGCCAACAACCCAGAGCCAACACCCCTATAGTCTTCTAATACACCACGTATTATATTTATTCCACTAACAGAATAAAAATAATGAAAACTATCACAGTTTTGCATTGTGTATGAAATGAATGCTATAATTACAAAGCTAGATATTTCAAAGTACATTTGTTTTAACAAATAGGAGTAAAATAGGAATAAATCTTTAAGCATTTCGTGAACTAAAACAATTTTATTTTACCATTCTATCAGTAGCTACGCAATTTTGTGCTGAGCACTCTTGGTAGAATGACCAAACCAAAGAAATCTATTCTTCGCTTACCTCAAGGTTGCCACGGACCCTTATTCTAGTTATATACATGTAGATCATCTTAGTATTCGTGGGTTTCAATGATGGGGAAGCTGATGGTGGTCAACTTTTTGCGTGTTTTGCAGCGGTTAACCGTTAAATATAGGAGCAAACAAACTGAACTTTTCTATTTCATTTCTATAACTTGCCACCAAATATTCCTGACTTTGTGGTCCTATATACATATACAGTGGCGGATTACTGAGTAGCCTACAGGCCCGTGATTTTCAGATAATGCACTTCTTATTAGAATTATTGTTATTTTGGTCCTTAATTAAGCAATGAGATATTGATATAGCAGCTAATTCAAAAACAATAGGCCCCGTAACTGCTAATCCACCACTGCCTGCATGTATAACTTACTGACCGACCACCACCTGTTGCACGACACCAGGCAAAACACTCTGGTAAAACCTACTTATCTAAGGAACCAATTCGTCTTCTATCACATATCTTTAATCACAACCAGTCATCCAATTTTGATTCAAAACTTTTCACATGACGCCAATCCGTTCATAGCTTTTTAAAAACGTCGAAGTCAGTGATGTGTATCAATAACCACAACATCCTCGCATCGTTTCTTCACTATAAAGTCATTTTTCTTCCTTCAAGACTGATTTCAACAGCACGTTGTTTCGTGCCACCTTTCTTGTCGTTAAATTTCCGTTTTTGCTTTTCAAAACGATTTAAAGTCTTCTTTGACGTCTGCAATAACACAAAATTAGAAGTTAAGTTTAAAATATTCACATCACGTATAGTTCACAGTACAGCAGTGCAAGGTTACAGAAGACTCTAAAAAATAGTATGTGAATTACACAACTTTTCCAAAAAAGGTTTTAAAATTACACGTCATTCGAAATGTGACGTATACAGGGTGTATCAAAATAAACGCAATTCATCTTTTATGCTTAATAACTTTCGAAATACTATTTCTAGTTAAACGCTTTTAGGCTTACTTCAAAGCCGGTTCTTTTCTCTTTCAAACAAAGTATTATCCTTGTTTCCAATGCTAGTAATAATTGCACAGGAAAAGATTTAGTAAAACCTATCATTTTTAGTTGCTGTTTAATTATGTAAGTTTACTATGTTATTGTTTAGTCGGTTTAAATGTTAGAATTTTCTTCTTTAAACTTTAATGTTGTCGTCACTACATCTGGAAAACTACGTAAGAACAAATTAAAAGTATTTTAAAAGAGACCAGGTTGTTTGAAAATCCTAAACGAATGCTCAAAATCGTCAAAACATTCTGGTGTATGAGCCAGAGTGTCATCGAATTGCGATGTAATGTAAACAGAAATTATAGCAAGTTGATGTCAGTCAGCTTAGATGGTCCAAACCAAAATTATATCGCATTTGAAGTTTCAAACTGCAGTTAAAATAGTGGAAGAAAAGCCGTAATTATACTTATTGTTACAACCCATTTAATAAAATGCAACATTTTTTTGTTTTAATGAAAAAATCAGTTATTTTCATGAGAACGATTTGTTATTCCATCTCAATTTTTTTAATCTCCAATCGCAATAACGTAAAGTATTATTACCCGCGAACCAATGAGTCAAATTTAAGAAACAACCCACTGTTAGAAAGCTGAATGGCTACGCTTTAAAATGAATGTAAACTTTAACGTTTTCGTCTATTATTTGTTTAGCAATTTACATTTCAGTCGAGGATTGCGCTTTTTTTATACACCCTGTAGAACGTATTCGAAATATGCCGTACTGGACGCATGTAGACTCGTACTGACGTATGTCAGAATATGACAATATTCAAACGTATATCAAAGAAAACCTCTCTTCTGTAAAGGCCTTTAGTAATTGCTTTGTAGACGCAATTTGACTAAAAACGTCGGTGTACAGTAGATGAACTGAATAACGTATACTCCAGTCAGGGCCGTACACAGCAGGGGGGGGGGGGCGCAACTGCCCCCTTAGAGAAAACTATATTTACGATTTTTAGAATGTCATTGTTAATTATTCTCTGGATATTCGGGACGTTTTTTGGCATATAGGCCTTACTGCCCCCTGGTGGAAAAATTCCTGCGTACGGCCCTGACTCCAGTTCATTTTTGTAAATGAACTGCTAACAGTTACCTTTGTGAAATCGACATATTCTGCGTTGCTTTTGGGACGGACGACATAGTCTTTATTAGACGGAGCTGGAACTCTAGCACGCATACACCAACCTTTATCGCCTGGACGGAGAGCTCTGTAAAGAAATAAGTTTTGTAATAACACTTGTCAAGTGAACGCAAGTCAGATTTTGAAGACACACAATGACTCTTTAAGCGATGTTATTTAATGGATCGTATCTTTCAATAGTTCGTGAATAAATTCAAGTTGATATAGAAGTTAGTTTAAACATGGCGGTGAAATAAGGACTCCAGTCTCATTTAAAGCTATTTCTACACCTATATGATTTTGTGCCCATGTTGTCATTAATTAAATAACATCGCTCAAAGGGTGACTGTGTGCCTTTAATTTGTGAGAGCACAAATTGTCAAATCCAAAACAAATACTCGCGCCTTATTGAAGAAAGATAATTTTTGCAATGCCACAGTGTTTCAACTCTATTTGCCCGGAAGTATGATATTACAAAACAACCAAACGTTTAATTTTTGTTTCACATAATTTCCACATTTGTTTCCACATTTTTGTGTACTTCGGCAGAGCGTTTCTTTTCGCATGATTATGATGGGCCCGGACAAAATGAAAACCTCAAAACAAGATGAAAACCTCAAAACCGTTGGTTTGTACAATGTGTTAGTAAAGGCTATAGTACCCAGGAAAAGTTACTGAACAAAGAAAAATACATCGAACCATTAACAAAAATTCTTCACCAAATCAAATTGGCGGAGAAATATACAACCAAAACTCACTTGGAATCTGATTTTATAGCGTTCTCTATCCTCTTTGGTGTTTTGCCTCCATCTACACCGTCGCTGCTGTAAATATAATAAGTATATTGGGGGTAAAGATTGGATTTAATGAACTTCAGTATCAAGAACTGATTACCTCGTAACTGAGAAAAATTAATTGTTTTGTGAACGATAAGATAAACGTGGATTTTTCACTCGCATATCTCATTTGTTAGATATACATGAATGACACCAATTACAATATTTTACATTGATTGTATTATGCTTGTGATGTTACTCTGAGTGTATATCCACACCGGTCAAGCTTGAAAAATATGCCTGGCCACGGTGGGAATCGAACCTACTGTACGACCTTTGGAATACTAGCCCAATGCTCTGCCAACTGAGCTACGCGGTCAGGTCGGTTCGAGTATGTGATATTTCGGAACTGAGTCTAGTTCCTTCGATATCGACTGTAATGTACTCAGGTGAATATGATCCTTGTGATGTTACTCTGAGTGTATATCCACACCGGTCCCAGGCATATTTTTCAAGCTTGACCGGTGTGGATATACACTCAGAGTAACATCACAAGCATCATATTGAATTCATATTCACCTGAGTACATTACACCAACACAACTAAATTTACAATATTTGATGAACGTGACATTCAAAAGCGGCATTGACACTCACTTCTTTCCTATTTGATGTTCTCTATGTTTAGTGTTTACTTAATTCTACACGCGTTAATGGATGAAAACCAGTCTAGTCGCAGGCACACTCTGATAACACTACCTGTATACCAATATGTAAGCCATGTTTACCTTAATCTTCTGCGTTTGGACATATTTGCATAATCCCGCTCTTCTCTTTCCTCTCTCGACATTGATTTGAAATTTGCCGTCACTCCAAATATTGGTCTGGACCACTCGCCTGAAAAAGAGGACAAAATGTTGAGCTACAATCGTGGCAATATTTTCCCAGGATTGGAATAATTGTTGGGGGCCGAATGTACGAGGGTGGGACAATCGACTTTCAGAATGTGCTTAAACTGTGAAAAATAACCGACTTTCAGAATGTGCTTAAACGATGAAAATAACCGACTTTCAGAATGTGCTTAAACGATGAAAATAACCGATCTCCAGAATGTGCTTAAACTTGTGCCTTATACTCTGCATATAAGCAGCTATTCACGATTATTCGATATTTTTGGAATCAAAATCCCCATGCAATAACCCTTAGAAGTGCTTTCGTCACGCAATTTTCAATCCATCAAAACATTAGGTATACTCAGTGCAATGTGGGTAAAATATTCATTGTCTGACATAAGGACTTCTAAGGTCAATATAGAGTTGACAATTCAAAGTGAGCGTATACCATTAAAGCATATCTTGAAAGAATAAAGAACAAGTAATGAACACACCGCTATGGTACTTATTATTAAAGATAGATCGATAGATAGATAGATAGCACGTTATTGATAGATCATTTTCAACCGTTTACCATAAGAAGTTTGTATGCATAAAGGTCGGTATACACGATACGATTAGTCATATACGATTCTTAGTCTGACGCACATAATCGAATAAACACGCTTAAAGAAATTTCGTAAATTAAATGAAGAGGAATTGTGGCTTCAGTTGGCTTCAGCAGTAATTTTCATACTCCGGAATGGCAATCGTGCATCCACAGGGAGCCCATCCCGGGTCTTATTGAAGTTATGTATTAGCATTACATACGAGACCCAGCCCGCAAATCGCTAGCCTGCGAACAGGCTCTCAAGCTGAATTCAGAGCCTGCATCGATGACTAATGAATTTGAATATCTGCGTCTCAAATCGTGACGCGAAATTCTCATTGGTCAGATGCTATAATTTATATGTTTCCGCTGAGCTCTAAATATGTCAACTGCTGAAGCACTATGCATAAAAACACATTAACTGATCAAATTGGTCTTGGCCATCTTATCTCAAAGCACGAAATGTTCTGTTTTGAGAAAACAGTTGCTTCAATATCTTATATTTCGAAAAACAGTATAAACTGTACGGTCTAAATTTAGTTTGCACGGTCTAAATTTAGTTTGCACGAAAGTTGTAAACAACACCATGTAAGGATAGACATTCCATATTTGGAAAAACGAACGTTACGGGGCAGATATTCAAATTCATTAGTCATCGATGCAGGCTCTCAATTCAGCTTGAGAGCAAATTGCAAATTGTTTACTATAGGCTTACTGTAAATGAAGTTAGCCTAGCAAATAATTTGCCTCAGTCATTATAGTAACTTGTATCTCCACTAGCAGCCTAATTTATGTTTACGTTTTTAATTACAACTCCCGGGTTATATAAGATTGATATTCCCATCATGTAGCTATAGTTGATGGATATCAATTCAGCGATATCTAACTTTTCATACACTTACTTATAATTTTCCCAGCACGTTCCTTATTCTTTCTGCTTTCTTTCGGGTGTCTAAACAAGTACATGATAGCTTTACCAATCCCGCTTACTTTTAACGCACCACTATCCACTGGAGGAAGCTATAATAAAAACACATTCAGTAAATCTACATGTGAACCTCGGTGCAATATGTAATAATGTAAAGTTAATTAACATGAATTTATATGTACCTGTATATAAGAGATATCAAACACATTATTTACTGTAGGAAATAAACTATATATCCTTGCTCCAAGTCTCTCTAATTGTGTGTGTTTTTCGATAACGAACTTTTCTCAGGGGTGGCTTTGAGAAAGTTTAGAATTTACTTTTGCAGTGAAGCACAAACAAAAATAATTATTTGCAGAAATTCAACTGAAAACAGAATTTATCACTGGATATTTTGACTATACCTGTTCTAAAATTGTCAATATCCCTTCTCGAATTTGAATATGTGGTAAAGAACCGTCTGGAAGTGGAGTAATCCATTCCTATAAAACATAAAAAATGAAAAATTGTACTTATCTAGCCTTCCCTATGGACATCTCTATATATAAAAGATCATAGCTTGAAGTGCGTTCAGAGACTAAACATTTGTTTGTTCAGCAGACAGGTCTACAAGTAGACGAACAGAAAACCTGTGGTAGCAGTGCTTAGCAATAATCCTAACAGAAAACACATCAGGAATGCGTCCAGAAGCGTTCTCCAACGCTTAATTCTCTTTGCGTTCCGAATGCGGTCTCATTTGTACTTTATTTGCGTTCTAGTATAATCGGAATGAAATCGGGTTAATGACACAGGCGACTGCTGTAAATCATTTCTCATCTTTTCCGATAATGACGTCACACGTTGACTTTACCTTCAGGACTGGAAGGACATTACTATCGACGAATATGACCATCAAATCAATCCTAAAGGAACATAAAGGGTACCTTTTACTTTATGATGCACAGTGGGTAAAAATCGTAGTAGGCGCGTGGGATCTTATCAGGAAAACACTCCCAAAAGTGCGTACACTTATGACCAAAAGTTCGTGAAAATCCCTGTAAGCATGAAAATGCCCTTAAAATCTAAAACATACAGTACTGTCAAATTTAATGAACATCCTCGAAAATCTTACTTTTTTTATGATGGAATCCATCGAATAAATATGTCATTATTATAGTAAAGTCATCAGTAAAATATGGATTCTGACGACTGATCCTGCATATCTTACCGAACATTTACAGATTTTCAATTGAGGAAGTATAGAATTTATAGCCACTTGTATACAAAACACATCTGCATGTTGTTACAGCTTGAGCAGTTGCAAAATTTAGGAGCCAAAAAGAATCAGATATTTGTATTTGGCTGAGTTGCCTTGCAAAGAAGTTGGATCTAATAAAGAAATTGGCAGCATCTTGGCGAAGGCTAATGGAAGAGAACCGCTCAGTAAACTTATACAGAGTTACAGACACAGGAGAAAAACGTAATCTTACTTTAGCATATGTTTGAGGACGGTTGGCAGTAACTTGAGTTTCTTGGTCGCCGCTTGTTTGGCTTCATTTGCCAATTTGTCTTCTTTGGCTGCCTCTTGCATTCTTTTTATTATACCCACAACCAAGTCATCGTTGTCATTTATTATATCAACATTCTACAAAATGTAGTATTCTCAATAAACATACATAAAACAAAATTTGTACTAAACAGAAGACAATAATCTTTTAAACTTTATGACTCTAGAACAAGTGAGAATTCTAAAATGGTTATATTTGAGATTCATTAAGAAATTCCAAGTGGCAAATACACATGCATGGGAGAAATACTCGGTAGTGATTTGAAAAAAGTGTGTTAAAACACGAGGAATGAGCTTGAAAAACGGTGAGGTACTTAAACGAACTTTTACAAGTTCAGTGGGACTGCATGGCGGACACTTCGCTAAATATTGGGGGGGGGGGGTTAGGTGGTTGCCAATATATTACTACCACCTTTACTAAAGCTTTATATTGTTTTCCTTAAATTTCATGCAATAAATACATAGCTTAATTTATAGCCTACCAACCCTTTCACGGTTAAAAAATTAATAGTTACACTTTAAAACACAGTTATTCAGCTATCCTTCACAGGCTTTCAGAAATCTTTTTTGCCAACTACCTCATGAATGGGGGTGCCACACCCCTTTTAACGCCGTCCCTGAGAAAGCGTACACTGCTATATGCCTAACGAAACCAAAATAAAATCAAATATTTTCAAAAGTTTAAAATAAATGAATCGCACCTTTCTCCGTCTGTGGGCTTTTCTATTGTCCTGAAAGATTGAAGAGTAAAAAACAATTAGGATAACATGGTGCTGAGTTGTGTCGGTCATGTGCGCCGCCCGCCTATCAACTTGCTTGACTACTAAGTGAGTCTAAGTCGTGCTTGACTAATGTATTTGAGTTATAATTGTTGTATGTTCACAGTTCGCTTATCATCATGTTATTTCTCAATTATTTCGTTGTTGGCCTCGTTTGAACAAGCCTTAATACTCGAACGGTTGGTGCACGTGTATGTAGGTAGGGACTAGGGACGATAACAAACAACTGCGGTGTGACAGAGATACAACTAAATTCTTCAAGGGTGGGTGTAATCTTTAAAGTTTTAAAGGTGGAGTAATACTAGGGGGAGGTTATTTTTTATGATCATCTTCCACTCGAAAAATCACTAAAATATCTTCTAATCACTAAATGTATCACATCCTGTACCTCTTTCTTTTGTTGCATCATCTGGTCAAAATCAGAAATAAAACTACAAAACAAAGCAGATTTTCCACGTAAAACAAATTTTACTGAAACGCAACACAAAAACAGGACACGTTTTTTCGGGTGAGAGGAAGCATCCACGGTCATCCAATCTATGTTTTGGCAAAGAAAACATACAGTAGCACGTTTGGTTTCGTATGAATGCGGCAGGATCATCCGCCAAGGTGAACATTGCTATAGTTTGTCTACACGGATGAAATTGCGTGCGCAGTTGGTCTTCATGGATAATCCTCCATGTGACAAGGCAAGATTTGTTTCCAGGACAACTGCCACTGTACTGTAGATCGCATTATGGCTATACAATGCGTCTAAATTGGGCCAATACGATAAAGAAGGAAATTTGAATAAGATAAAATATCAGACATATTTTCACTTGCTACTCTGGTTTAAGTAAATGAATGCAATCCCTAAGTTCCAATGACGCTCCTTGTATATTCGAGGGATTACTGTACGTTATCGGCCAACAACGCGCAGATACTCTTTTGGGAGAAACCTCCGGTCATCCCGACTCAAAATATGATAATTTATATGCCAATTTTCAATGTTGGTGGTAATGATCCGTGAGTTTTCCCGGACAATTGCATGTTTGCCAAAGCATATTTCCTCTTTTCCTAAAATGAAACTGATTTTTTTGGTATTCTGTGTGCTACAAGTGTGCACCTTAGTAGTATAGGAACTGGCGTGTCTAGACCACTAGTTTTTCGTTCGCGTTCACGTGAAAACGTACACACTGATTTAATTAAAATCCTTTTTTATTGTTTTACGGTTCTAGACCATATTGGTTTTTCAGGAACGCCAGTTTTTTCCTTTGGGATTAGAATTAATTATTTTTAGTTTAACTTACCTCAAAGCTTCAGAATCAACTGAGACTACACTTTCCCAATATCGTCCAACCTTCCTATTCCAAAGCCTTTTCAACATCTTTTATTTCCTCCTTGAGGGTACACAAGGCAGGGGGCCCTTCCTGCTTATTTACCCTTTAGGATTATTACTTTCTACTCTGTGGGAACTTCTCAGTCACTATTTTTTTAGCCTGCGAGCAGGCTCTCTGGGGAAAGAGAGCCTGCAAGGATCCCTATGATGATTGCGTGCCGCCCTTCAATTATGATGTCACAGGTCAATTAATAACAACCAATCAGCGCAGACCGGAATACACTACGATATTGTAAACATAAACCGATTCGTTTCAAATTCGTTACTGTAATAGTTTCGTATACAGACCGCCACTGTGGCATACTAAAAAAGTTAAAACGGCTCGAGGTTTTACAGAGTAATATATCAAGTTGTACTTTTATTACAATCTGCATGTGTTTCTCCTGTAGGCACAGTAAGTTTAAAGTTGTATATTACCCGCTAACTAATTCAGTTATTTGGAATTGCTTCGTGCTGCAATATATAATATACACTGTATACAGTCTATATATATAGTAATAATATAACTTACTGAAATTTATGGCTTTGGTGAGACATAGACATATATGATATACCATGGACATTGGACATAATTTAATAATATGTTTATAGTTCAAATTTTGCAACAAAAGTGGAATTGCAGTAAACATGCATGTGATAATTATTGTAAACAAAGTGACGAGTAAATTACTGTACATTTTAACGCCGCATACTTATAAATATTAAATAGTCAGTATAACATTGTAAAACAAGCTTAATACACACAATATGCACTTAATATTATCAGAATTCCCAATATTGTTTCATAAAAGAGAAGCGATATAATGCCTTGTCCCTAGGTTTCGGTTTGCGAATTTGTGCAGTCTTTCTCAAGAATTATTCTTAGCTTAGGAGTCAGACAAGCCAAGGACACAATAAAGCATGCAAGCTTTTAGTATTCGTCTTTACATGAATACTATATTAATTTACAGTAAAAAGTCAACCAGGATCAAAATACATGACACTTTTATCTCTACATTGCCGCAATTCCGAAGCTTTGCGTTGCTCGGTTTTACAAACGGGAAGTGCAAGTTTATGGAAGCTTGTCAATCACTTCATATGAATCAGTTATCAACCAATCAGAGCACTGCGTCCAAATATTGGACGCATGCACCGAATCATCAAAGGGATCCTTGCAGGCTCTCTTTCCCCAGAGAGCCTGCTCGCAGGCTACTATTTTTTATATTCTTGTTACCATAAGCATAACTGGTAACTCCATCCTCCAAAAGATACCTTTTATCATCAAAGCAACTCAGAGTAACCTTCTTCAATTCGTAAGTTCCAATTGTATGCTTTACGCTTCTGATTGTATTCATATTATGTCTCATCCTACCTTTCGTATTAATTACATTCTTAAAGTTCTCGTGAGTGAGCTTGTTTCTGATGACATACTTTTTGACTCCTTTAGCAGTCATTCCGCCTCCACCGTTTTCCTTTACATAGGAATACATTTTTGACCTCAACCCAACAAACTCAATTATAGGTACTCCTTCAGCTTCATCCTTAAACTTACCTATAACCTTCTTGTTGTGAGTTGAGTAGTATGGAGAATCTTTTGGGTAATCCGAATTATCCCAACAGTCTTGCTCTTTACCAATTCTCTTAAAGTCCTCATAAACATCATCCGTCTTCAGTTCGTACATCAGACTGTCAGTATCAGTGAACAGTAGCCTTGAACTATTACCGTACTCCTTCTTGATGGTGTTGTAGTGGAAATCATACATTAAAGTCTTGGATAAGTCTAAGATGCTCATTCCTACGTAACACGGTTTATTCAGCGTTAGAACTTCTTTCATCCTTTTTACCACTATAAGATTCTCATTCATGATTCGATGTGACTGGAAGCACGGTGATGCTGTCAGTTTTAGGAGGTCGTCTTTGGAGGACACTAATTTCACATCAACCCTTTTCCTAAGATTTTCCATAGTCTTTCCGTAAATCGAATTATTCATCAACTTGAAGAAGTTCTTTTCGAACGTATTACGGGCTGCAGACCTTTTCTTTGTAGTGAAGTCTATATAGTTCTTAAGCCAGGGAGACTGTTTAAATGTAACTGCTCTATGGACCTTTGTTAGTTTCATTCCAAGGTCCGTGTACAGTTTTAGATTACGTACATGTAAGACGTAGTTCTTTCTGGGACCAAGTGAAGTCACAAGTTTTCTTACTCCTCCAATTGTCAGTTGGAATTTCTCAGCAATACTCTTCGCATAATCTGACAACATAGAAGCACTGATTTCCTTACTCTCCGGTGCTAGAGGATAACCGTTATGTAGATCGTGAAGTTCTTGTGGATATTCCAGGTCAACCTCCAAAACCATCCCTCTTTCGCTGTCCTCAAGGTAGTCGTCTAGATTCATACCGTCGAATTCCTCAACCCACTCGAACTCTCCATTTGGGAGTGATTGTGACATTGCCCAGCCATATAAATTATTAGCATCGAGGTACATCAAGTACTTGTTCTCAGACGACTCATCATACGTCTCCATGTACTTATTATTAGCTGTGGAGTGTCTATAAGCAATATAACTTGTACCACCTCTCATACCCTTCTCGAAGAACTGAAACATATCCATATCACTTACAAGTTCTATTTCTTCACCTGACTTTTTCAGGAAAGCGTCCCAACTTAGACCAGGTGCTGACATGTAATGTGCGGGGTCAAGTTCATAACTTTCCAGACATGTTCTCCTGAAGTTTTCAAACACATCAGCCAGCAGAAGAACGGCAGTCTCCAGGTAGAGATCGTGGTAGTCTCTCAAGGTTTTCATCTTGAAGTGATCCCACACTTTTTGAGCTCTTTGGTAATCTTCTTCCTTCACCTCTGACTCATACAGTGATGAGTAGAACTTATCCTTACTCGGTAGACCTTCAGTATCAAGCTTGCTAATATTATCGAGGAACTCATAAGGGAACACTCCTTTTTGTGTTACTAGGTTGAAGTCCTCACCCTTCCACCTCTTACCTACTATCCTGAAGTCCTCAGGTGAAAGGTTACTTACCAGTGCTTCCAGTGAAGAAGCCATAAACTGTATAGAGTCTATGAAGACCAGATTCTTACCCAGTGAGAATGAGATGTATTTTTCCATATTATTTGGAATCACATTAACGTTCATCTTGAACTTACCAATTTCCTGCATAATCAAATGACTATCGTAACCTCTCAGGTTGTGGAAGACCACAGGCACTTTCCATGTAATTCTGTACTTCAGGTTGCATATATTGTGAGCAGCCCCACGGTACATTCCAGTTACATGGTCATGGTCCCTTACCCTGTCCTCACCAAGGTCGTTACCACATATTGAACAGTTTCTTGCAGCCTGGAATTCGAATTCCTGTCTGGGTGTAATTACCATCTTTTTCTTGAATATATTGTTGACCATCTCTCTACATCTGAAGGACTCTTTCAATACAGTCTTCAGGAATACCAATGCAGCATCCCCTCCAACGTAACTCTTATACTCACCGGAGAACTTATCATCGTAGTGGCAGACAGTCTTCAAACCAAAACTACAAGCCTTGTGTGTCTGGTAAAGGTCTGTACTACTTTTGTCCTCAGGGTTTTCTAACTCCACTTCTCTCTCCTCTGGTACTAGTATGGACTCAAAATCAGCGTATATCACAAACGGCACAGGCATTGAGTTCCTATGATTTTTGAACTTGATTTTTGTCCCTTCCTTGGGAAGATTTACAGCCTGAGTTCCATTTACCTGCAGACATGTTTCCTTATGATTTTCAAGTGACTCTTTACTCACACAACTATGAAGACAGTGTAGACAGAAGTGCTTCTTATGTGTATGTTTACTTACACTGAAGAGCATCCTGTTAACATCCTTTATAAGCACATAATGGTTGTTACCTTCACCATCACCCAGGAGTAGAAGTTCCATATGATCCTCGTATTTAGCCTTGGAGTTCCTTATAGGGTAGAACTGTTTCTTACCCTTATAACCAAACACAGATATGCTGATACTGTTTTTCCTCTCAATTTTATCAATATCGCTGATCTTCACAGGGAAGTCTATACCCTTGTAGTCCAGGTTCGTTATGAATTCCCTGTCTTTCTGTGTGATGGTGGTTGCTCGTCTAACCTTAGGATTCAGATGTCTCACATGACTCCACAAGAAACACATATTATCATCATTTTTCATATTGATGAGCCCACACTTTGGGTTACTAATGTCCCCTGGAAGTTTCATATATGAACTACCCTTTAATGGTTTGTACATTGCAATGTTTACGTAATGACTCTCAATATTGAGTATAATCCAATTTGAACCTAAATTTTGGAAGGTTTCAATTCTAGATAATATTGTCATTTGGTTTTGAGCAGCTGAACTTTCAATGTCCTCGAAGTTAGTTGCAGTACCAGTTTTGGATTTGAAGTAGACCGAGTCCTTTTTGGTTTTCCCGTCACCAATTTCCTTTGACATTCTCACCTTCAGAGTCTCTGTGTACTTCAACCCACCCATTCTCTTCAACTCGTTCACAAGTATTCCTCTCACTACCTGTCTACTTGCAGTCATCTGGTTCAGGGGGTCCATATAATGAGGAGTTATCGAGTAAGTCACAGCGGCTCCATTTGCGGCTGTTTCGATTTTCCTGTGGAATGGCTTTTCAAGGTCTGTTCCAAATGGATCGATTTCATATTCACTTGGTGTGATCACTGGTGGTTGTTTCTTAACTTCCTTTGACACTCTTACAGGCTTACGTAACTTAGGGGGAGACACTGGTTTCCTAGTCCTGGGTTTCGGTGCAGGTCTTTCCCTAAGAAGCTTAGTTCTAGGTTTCGGTACAGGTCTTTCCTTAGGAAGTACCGTTCTAGGCTTAGGTATTGGTCTCCATGGAGCTACACCCTTAGGTACCTCGGGAGCTTTCCTCACAGGTCTCTTATTAAGATCCACGTGAATTGTGAACTTACCTGGACCTGTTGGTGTTATGACACTATCGGCAGGCACTGAGAGTTTTACCTTCCTCTGGCTCAGGAATCTTTCAGCTACAGTTTGCCTTTTAACCTTAGCATCAGACTTTACCTTTGGTGGTCTACCTCTCTTTTTAGGAATCTTCACTTCATAGTCAGTCTTTACCTTTTGTGGTCTACCTCTCCTTCCAGGAACCTTCACTTCGGCATCGGACTTTGCCTTTGGAGGTCTTCCTCTCTTTTTTGAAACCTTAACTTCAGAGTCAGTTTTTGCCTTTGGTGGTCTACCTCTGGGACGCTTGATCTTAGGGTTCCTCTCATTTTCGATCCTCTTAATTTCCTCATTCACTTGAGGATCATCTGTGCGCCATCTTCCTCCCATTGTTGGTGGTAATCCCTGAACACCCTTAGACAGTAAGCTTTGGTATGCCTCCTCAACAAGTAAGGCCTTTGCCTTTTGCCTGTCAGAGTACTTCCACGTTGGCATAATTCCTCTTCTTCCCTTATAGTTCAAAGGAATGCGTCTGGGTTTCTTTACCTCCATATCACGGTCAACTTCATCTACGAATTGTCTTTCTCCTTCAAAGGGACTTTTGCCCTTATCATCAGGTGCAATCCTGTAGTTTTTGTCAGCCATGATGTCCTCTACTCTTTCGTCGATCTCGTTGTCACTATCTATGATACTGTTGAGAGCCATATGCTGTTCTACGCTGAATTCGTCTAAGTTCAAGTAACTCGCCATATTTTCTAACAGTTTCTATATACTATATATGTAAATATAAATTCGGGTATTTAATTAATAATTTATTTCGAATTTATTTTTAATTTAATTTATTGTTTAATTCTATTAATTTATTATATCAGTATATCTTTAAGTGTTTTTATTTTTTATTTAATTTATTATTTAATTCAATTAATTTATTATATTAATATTTCTTTAAGTGATTTTATTTTTGTTTAATTATATTGATTTATTATATTTCTTTAAGTGTTTTTATTTTTGATTTAATTCTATTGATTTATTATATTAATATTTCTTTAAGTGTTTTTACTTTTCCAGTTATTGTAATATTCACATTTCTCAGGTTTCCATCCAAGCTCAACAAAAACCTTCCCATACAACCTATCCTCAAGGATGTCCACAATTTTTTGAGTCTTAATGTCCTCAGGAGGGTTCTTCAGGGAAATACCATTCATGCTGGCTATCCTCAGTAGGTAAAACTTGTATCTGACTATGTTGCGCCCCCTTTGCAGTCTAAGTCTTTGTATACATCTTACTATACTTCTGAACTGCTCCCTTATGATGTCCCTATCCCTGGAAGCAACATGTTCGAACAAGTGCCTCTCAAACCAGCGGACTCTGCTGTGACAAGACTTCTTTTTCAGATAGTCGTCCTTGTTGTAGTTGTAACTAACGTAGTATGAGAAGTTATTCATATTACTAGTACCACACTGTGTGCATGTATCTGCCCCATCTATCATTACAATAGACTTACTCCCACATTCGCTACATATTGGATCATATGTGTGTTTTCTCTTTATTCTTCTTTCCACGTACTTTCTTACTGATACCTCTAGCTCTTCTATGGTGTTTAGTTTCCTGCCTACTAGTACTACTTCCTCTGGTGTCACTGTTTGAAGCCAGTCCATTTACCTATACTATTAGTGTGAAAATTTTCTGCTGATTTTCGGGGTGTATTTAAGCGTCTTCTTATTATTCTTAGTTCCACCCACTTTTTAACTGCAGCTTCTAACTCTTCTATTGTGTCTACCCTTTTTCCCAGGGCTACTACTTCCTCAGGTGTTACCATTTGAAGCCAATCCATTTTCCTATACTATTAGTGTAAAAATTTTTTGCGGCATTTTCTATAGAATTAAATAAGCTGCCCCTCCAACCACCCCACCTGTAATTAAACCGAATATTGCCATATATTCTTCCATCTCAGAGCTAGGTTTGTAGTGATTACTCAATTGCGGCTTCCTTGGCATAGGCTTGCGTTTTAACTCATTGATTCTTCTGACTAGTTCCAGTGACTGGTTCGTTGACTTTATATCCCTATTTGCCTCAGCTAGTTCTGACTTGAGTTGGGCAATTCTATTTCTCCTATCAGTGACCTCTTCGAGGTACTTTTCTCTCTCAGCTGTTAGATTCTCCATTGCAAGGTTATGTCTATGAACTTCCTCAGCATATCCATTCTTGTCAAACATCTTAAATAAGTATCCTGCTCCCGCAAATGCAAATGCGTTAAAGAGTCCTCCTACTACTGCTCCCGCCATTGTATAGTTTTACCTAGGTTTTGAATGGATCATCTGGTAGATACTTCTTTTCTTTCAAGTAAGAGACCAGTAGAGATGAAAGACTAACTGAAACAGCTAATTTTACCATTCCCTTTACATTCTCTGGGGTACCTAGGGGTTCTTTCAATAGTTTCTTTGATGCCATTGATATACCAACTGCTCCTGCTGTAAGTAACACTGCGTCGTACACTTCCCTAGTCATCTTTGATTCTTTACTCATCTTGCTATAATATATGGTATGTTTAGTGTATCATTCAAGTGAATCTAACTTGGACTCATCGGCTCTCTTAGTTACTTCTACAGTTTTAGGGATGTACTCAGGTTCTGGTTCCCTAGTTTCCCTCTGATGTGTTTTATATGCTAGCACAAGAGATATCAATGCAATGGCCACTCCTATGTAGGTAATCATACTGTCATTACTAGGTGACTCGTTAGGTTCAGCCTGTTTCTTTTTTCTCTCTTTTGCTATTTTACTGATTGCAGCTAGTCGTTTCCCTGCCTCTACTCTTCTTGGGTCCTTCTTCTTTTCACTTGTTACTGGTACTTGAATTTGCTCAGGTTTATCTGCCATTCTACTTGTAAGATACCTTAGGTTTAACTGGGTTTTATCTTATGAGATATCTTGAATTCTACTTGTGAGATAACTTGAATTTACTTGCAAGATAACTCAAATCTACTTGTAAGATAACTTAAATCTACTTGTAAGATAACTTACAAGATAACTCAAATCTACTGGTGAGATAACTTAAATATACTGGTGAGATAACTGGTGAGATAACTTGAATTTACTTGTAAGATGTCTCGAATCCACTTGGCAGTATAATGGGATTGCTTAAGAAATGCCCGACAAAATTTGCCGAGCATTTTTTAAGTTTCTTTCCTTCGCTTCCCATTTGCACTCTAGTACTTACCTACTGTGTAACCAATCCGCCTGATTATAACTTCCTTACACTTACTAGACTCTAAAGTCTTACACTTTATCTTAAGATTCTTTATTTCCTCTAGGAGTTTCTTTATCTTATCAACCCTAAAGTACTCCTCTATATCTAGCACTATCTTTGTGTAATCGTTAGATATTAATGTACGGTATCCGTTTTTACCTAACTCCCTTATCCATGCTACCTGGTTATCTCTGACTTCACCTGTACCCTTTGGGATCTTAAGTTCTATTGCGAATCCATGGAAACCATTACTTGGAGTTACTATTGTGAGATCAGGCTGTCCACCCATATATCCCTTCCTCCAAGCGTCACATCTCTTTTGAGATGTATCCTGGTACTCTCCTAGTCCCGGTAGGATTAGAGCTTTTGGGTGGTACTTATGTACGGTATCCGTTTTTACCTAACTCCCTTATCCATGCTACCTGGTTATCTCTGACTTCACCTGTACCCTTTGGGGTCTTAAGTTCTATTGCGAATCCATGGAAACCATTACTTGGAGTTACTATTGTGAGATCAGGCTGTCCACCCATATATCCCTTCCTCCAAGCGTCACATCTCTTTTGAGATGTATCCTGGTACTCTCCTAGTCCCGGTAGGATTAGAGCTTTTGGGTGGTACTTATGTACGGTATCCGTTTTTACCTAACTCCCTTATCCATGCTACCTGGTTATCTCTGACTTCACCTGTACCCTTTGGGGTCTTAAGTTCTATTGCGAATCCATGGAAACCATTACTTGGAGTTACTATTGTGAGATCAGGCTGTCCACCCATATATCCCTTCCTCCAAGCGTCACATCTCTTTTGAGATGTATCCTGGTACTCTCCTAGTCCCGGTAGGATTAGAGCTTTTGGGTGGTACTTATGTACGGTATCCGTTTTTACCTAACTCCCTTATCCATGCTACCTGGTTATCTCTGACTTCACCTGTACCCTTTGGGGTCTTAAGTTCTATTGCGAATCCATGGAAACCATTACTTGGAGTTACTATTGTGAGATCAGGCTGTCCACCCATATATCCCTTCCTCCAAGCGTCACATCTCTTTTGAGATGTATCCTGGTACTCTCCTAGTCCCGGTAGGATTAGAGCTTTTGGGTGGTACTTTTTAAGATATTCTACAACAGCATAATGAAGGTCCGTTTCGTTAATTAGCTTCATCTGATTACAATAAAGTGGTTCAGATTCTGGTAATTTGTATGAGCCTG